TAGTGTGAGCACCAAGAACCTACTTTGGATGTCCAAAAAGTAAGTTTTGCCTTTCCGCCCTCCATTCTGTGGCAGTGCCATTGGCAATGTGGGTACCCTGTGAGATCACTCACATATAAGGAAGTGCAGACAAGAAAATCACAAAGGCCAATAATTCAGTGTGTTATCTTTAGTGATATTAACACTGTTTATGGACATATTTTTAGAATCATTATGTGTCAATTGCTGTGTTTGCATTATCTTATTTAATCCTTGCAATATTTCTATGACACTATTATCATTACTATCTCTATTTTGTAGCCAGGAGAGTTAGATTTCAATCTGATGAGTAGTGAGAAAGTATGATGTAGAAAAATGAACCTTGTTCTGAATTCTAATGTCAGTGTGCTTTGGACTTCATTTTCTCCATGCATACAATGAGGAAGTTTACTTTTATTTATTATCTGTTCATTTATTTGGTACCAAGGATTGAACCCAGGGGTGCTTAAACACTGAGCCACATCTCCAGGCCTTTATTTTTTATTTTGAAACAGGATTTCACTAAGTTGCTTAGGACCTTGCTAAGTTGCTGAGGCTAGCTTTAAACTTGCAATCCTCCTGCCTCAGCCTCCCAAGCCAGAGGGATTACAGGCGTGCACCACCAAACCTGTTAGGAAGTGTATTTTTTTTTAAGAGAGGGAAAGAGAGAGAGAGAGAGAGAGAGAGAGAGAGAGAGAGAATTTTTTAATATTCATTTTTCAGTTTTCGGTGGACACAACATCTTTATTTTATGTGGTGCTGAGGATCGAACCCAGCGCCCCGCACATGCCAGGCGAGCGCATTACCGCTTGGGCCACATCCCCAGCCCAGGAAGTGTATTTTTAAATCTCCTTCAAACCCTGAAAATTTAAATAGAGGCTTACAATCCTTATCTAAACCCTTACAACCAGTTGTGTGTTGGAATTCCTAAGTTTTTGGATTTGTGTAAAATTATATGTTCAAATACTGTCACTGCAGTGGCATCTGGGGTAGCATCTTATAAGCACACAGTGATGTTTCTGCCTGTATTTTAATAGCAGGAAAAAAAATAAAGATCGTTAAAAAAAAAAAAAAAAAAATCCTAGGAAAAGACAATAGAATGAATTGGACAACACTTTTCTATGTTCATATATGAATACACACCACGGTACCTCCACATCCTGTTCAGCCATGGAAATGAGAAATTATACTCCATGTATGTATGATGTCAAAATACATTCTATTGTCATGTAGAACTAAAAGGAACAAATAAAATTTTTTTTAAAACTCCATATTAATTTGTTTAAAGACAACAAAAGCTTTTGGTTTTCAGAGCTCTGTGTTTTAAGGTCATGGCTAAGGAATTGTGAACCTGAGAAAGGACTGAGGGAAGTGAGCATGGATGATATAAAACATTATGTTCCATTATCATTAACAGGACCAGATTCATAGAATTGATGAAAGAAACATTGCATGGGAAATGCTTTTCACAGTACCTAAAACAATTTAGGTGCTAAATAAGACTAGCAAGAAATCATAATAGTTCCATTGTTAAGCTTTGTACTTGATTTTGGTGGCAGAGACATAAATAATCATCACTGACTGTAAAGATGGCACGTGGTCTTATTACATTGTTCTAAGAAAAGTTGACCTCAAGGGACACATAAAGGGAGTGACAATGATCAACCAGGAATCAATCAGGACTCACGTCCCATCTCTGAAACTACTGGACACATTTGAATGAAACAGATAATATTAAAAACTCTAAAAGCCTACTTTATAATAAGTTCCAATAGGTTAAAGGAAAAGCACAACAATAATTGCAAAGCCAGTGCATGGTGCCTCCCCAAAAAAGAATCAACTGAATCTAGACTTTAGAAAGCCCAGACTTTCACCACTAACATTTGTGCAATGGATTCAGTGTTTTGAGATATGACTAATAGTTTCTGGTGGAGGTATATCCAGGTAGTATAATTTGCTTAGAAATCTTACTCTTTTTTAAAAATTAAATACGCGCATAAAAGTTAGGTCCTTAAAGCCTTATAAATCTTACATTTATGTATGAAGTTTACAAACCTTATGTTCATATTTATATATAAAGGTTGCAAACTTTATATTTAACCTTTAATAAAGACCTTGAATAATAAAGGCATGGCTAGTCATACACTTTTTTCAAAATATATATATTTTTTAAGTTGTAGATAGATACTCTACCTTTATTTTATTTATTTATATTTTTGTGGTGCTGAGGATGGAGCCCAGGGCCTCACACTTACTAGACAAGCACTCTACCACTGAGCTACAACCCCAGCCCTAGTCATTCACTTTTGAAAATGTCATCTCGGTAAAGCAAATATGTGGATTAGAAAGAGGGAAATTATTATTGAAAAGTGATGACGATTCAGAGGTTATTTACTGCACTTTGTCCTGCACAGAATGCTGAGACTTAGCAGATGATAGAGAGTTAACACCTTTACCAAGGGCCAGAGAAAGGAGAGAGGGATGTGAATGGAGTTTATGTTGAAGACAAGGTCAGAGAGCAGGAAAAGCACACAGAGGGGGAGCAAAGGTGTTGGCAGAGGAGGGTAGATGCTTTCTAACGCCCCAAATCCAGAAATCACAGAGATTCTGCAGTTCAACGCTCCTCCCCCAACACACGCTATTTGGGAGCTTCAAGTGACAGACAGTGTTGGCTCATTACAAAATTAATGGGCCATATCTATATAACCTGTGATTGCGCAGTTCAGTCGCTCTAACAGTGGTCATAAAGTATGATCTACAGCCTCGCTTTGAAAGGTCATAGATCACAGATAATCTGCAGACTGGTTTGGCTGCAAAGAGGGAGCATTCTTCTGTGGGGCAGGGTTTCTCAGAAACAGAAGAGAAAGGACCTGCTTTGATTTGGATTGACTCTACATCGATACCAATCTTATCTAAAGAAACCTCATTTCTTCTCCTGTCACCATCAATACTGGAAAAAATATAGAGGAAGAAAAAGTGAATTTTATTGTTTCAGAAGCGTGCTACTTCAAAGGAGCCCATGAACCATTGTGGGAAATGAGAAAACATGACCTCTAAGAACACATGGAGTCTCTCTTCCAGTCGCCTAGGGCAGGAGGCCTCATGGTTGTCCATTCCTCCTCTTTGTCAACCCTCTTTAACTCCCCATCATTGTGCACACCACAGAAGCACATAGTGTGTGTGATGGAGTGAATCAAGAGGACCTGCTACCTTCTTATGTGTTTAATGGTAGAGAATAGACACGGCAGAAAATCTGAGAAAGTTTGATCACACTAGTTGGTTCACAGAGAGAAGACTGTGAGACTCTAGATGGACAACGTGGCAATCCTGTGTGATCCCGCTGGCTTTAGTTTCATATGGTCGGTTGCCCTATTACCTTTGTTTCATTCAGTGAGCACCATTGGATCCTCAGTTTCACATAACTGCTTGGAAAACTCATGTCACTATTCACTGAAAGGACAGAAGGGCAGGGAGAAAATGGGTTACTCATCATTTTTGAAAAGTTAAAAAAACATCAAAGAATGTTGAGATGAGTTGTGTTGTTCTTGAGCATATATTTATTTTTCCAAATCAGGCAAGAATGTCACCTGGTGCATATGAGAATCATGAGCCAGTGCTGATGATTTAAGAATTTGTCCTTTATCTCATTGGATCTTTCTACTGTTCTTCACTGCTGAGGAAAGATGATTAAAGATGTGTGCTGTCATGAACACCAAAACCAGCAATTTTCTATAAATAGTAAAAGAAGAGAATAGGCATCTTTTTTTTTTCTTTTATTCTTTTGTTAAACCTTGAGTCATCTGTTCTGGTTAGGTCAGTGGCTTTGAATTTACTAGGTATATCTTTTGCTTTCCCTGAGGGTTTTTGATCAGGCCTTGGGGTGAGTATGCATATTTCACTTGAACTTCTCACAAACCTTCAGCCGATTCTAGCTGACTTTAGCTAGAGACTTCAGACTCTGTCTGAAGCACCTTTTTCTTTTTTGCATACAGAGAAACTCTGAACACCTGTGATATTCTTGCACATAAACCTGATATCTAGGAACCACATCTACTTGCATAACATTATGATTAAGAAGATTCTTGATTTTTTTTAAAAAATCATACAAACTTAGAATTGGGGGAAATTATGCTTGGTTTGATTGATAAATCTTGTCATAGCAGCAAGAAGTAATACCCTAGCAAATTAGAGAGTTGATGTAGCTTTTGAAGATGACTCCCTTTCAGGAAAATTTTGGATCATTATATTTTAGGCTCTGGGAACAGAATAGTTGAAATAAAGAAAAGATGATGTGGAAAAGCTGGATAGAATAGCACAAGGAGAAACATGTGTTTAGGGGCTTTTTAGATGAGAATAAAAATCACAGGAATTCATTTCGTGAAAGACAATCTACACATATGCAGACAAAAGCAGAGACAGAAGACAGATTAGTGGGTGGTTTGAGGTTGAATAGATGCATAGAATTTAAGAAGAAAATATATTTATAGATAGAAAAAGTAATAACATCTTTTAATGTTTTGAACCATTGCATCTTACACTTTTTTGTTTTGAGTACCAGGGATTGAACTTAGGGGCACTTAACCACTGAGCCACATTCCTAGCCCTTTTTTGTATTTTATTTAGAGACAGGGTCTCACTTAGTTGCTTAGGGCCTCCGTAAGTTGCTGAGACCAGCTTTGAACTCTCGATCTTCCTGCCTCAGCCTCCAGAGCCACTGGGATTATAGGCATGTGCCACCATGCATGTGGTGTCTTACACTATTTCCAGTCACTAAAGTTGCTCAATGAGTGATACAATTTATGTGGACCTTTCACACACTGGTGAAGTGATTTGTCCACAATCACACAGCTAGTATGAAACAGAACTGGGATTCAAATTAGATTTATCTGACTCCAAAGCCCTTTTGACTATATTACATACTATAGTTTATTTGTGTTTTATCAAATGTATAATTATCACTGATTTTTTTTGTATTTTGTTAGCTCACTATTTATGTCCAGCCAGAGCAAAAGCACACAGCTGAGTATGCTGCAAACATAACTAAAATTATATTTGATTATTTTGAAGACTACTTTGCTATCAATTATTCTCTTCCTAAATTAGGTAAGAATTATTTTTTCCTATTTTTAATATTGCCTTTGTTTTTACCTGAGTTGATTCATTGCATCTAATTAACTATCATCCCTAAGTCCTTTTCTTATATGCGTTCTATATGTGTGTGTGAGATTAATTAGATGTTGAGACATCCATTCTGGATTCTTCCAAAAATAATGTATGTACTCTGTTTGGATCTATGTACAGTGTTTATTTACAAATAAAAATGATCAAAAATAAAAGTATGTGCATTGAACTGCAGAGCTTATTAATGATGGAACAGAAACAGCAAACCAGATTAGCTTAAATAACCAGCATCCATCCCAATAGTGTACATGCCTTCCCAACATCTGTGGGCTGGAAAAGAAAAGGGGTAATTGATGTCGCAAGAGTTCCATGTGCTTCCAATCTTCCCATTGTTGTGCAAGACTAATTCTAGATTCTCCAGCAGTTAAAATGAAATGCTGGTGCTCCTTCCAGAAACATCTTTTTTTTTTTTTTTTCCTGATATGGAGGGAGGCATGTTTTCCTTTTAAAACAAAAGTCAGACTGTAAACAGAATAGTGTAGGTATGACATTTCTATAAATAGCAGAAATACCTTATTAATAAACTTGAGTGGTGTTGGCAGAACTTTAAATTTAAGATCCATAGAGTTGCTTGTAGTGATGAAATGAAAGGCGGTAAAAAAAGAAACCAGCCAACAATCGGCTTCCTTGCTCTTCTGTCTGCCCTTCCTTAATAAATTATCAATGCAAAACAACTCGAATGACAAATTTCCTACATGAGAATAGCTATGGCTGGGAGCAAGTTTGTATTTTTTTTTTCCAGTGGAAACAGTTCCCATTTTTTTTTTATTGCTTAACAGTGATTACAGAAGAAGACAAAAAGAGAAGCAAATTTTCATCCAAGTCAGAAGAATAATTAATAAAATATGAAGCACCTGAATTCAAAGGATTCCCCCCCCCCCCACACACACACACCCTTTATCTCACTTGTACTGCCCAGATGTAACCTGGGAAGTGGAACTCTGGTGAATTTCTCTGGCTCTTCTCCTTTCTTCCTCCTTCTCTTGTTCCTTCTTTATAATCTTTTATGAACATTTTTAACCCTTTCAGAATTAACAGCATCATAGAAGTAACTTCTACACTCATTACACTCCAAAAGTTAAACATACTTGTGCTATTTAATTATAATTATAGTGTTATTTAATTATAATTCCAATACTCAACCAGACATGATATTACCAAAAAATTTTATTCAGTGATAACATGCAAATTACACTTCACAATATTTTGAAAAATATCAGCACTTGGTAGAGATACTGCTCCATCCTTTCAGGGATATTCTTTTTTTTTTAATTTTTATTGTTGGTTGTTCAAAACATTACATAGTTCTTGACATATCATACTTCACACTTTGATTCAAGTGGGTTATGAACTCCCATTTTTACCCCGTATACAGATTGCAGAATCACAACGGTTACACATCCACTTTTTTACATATTGCCATACTAGTGTCTGTTGTATTCTGCTGCCTTTCCTATCCTCTACTATCCCCCCTCCCCTCCCCTCCCCTCCCATCTTCTCTCTCTACCCCATCTACTGTAATTCATTTCTCCCCCTTGTTTTTTTTTTTTTTCCCTTTCCCCTCACTTCCTCTTGTATGTAATTTTGTATAACCATGAGGGTCTCCTTCCATTTCCATGCAATTTCCCTTCTCTCTCCCTTTCCCTCCCACCTCTCGTCCCTGTTTAATGTTAATCTTCTTCTCATGCTCTTCCTCCCCCAGGGATAATCTTATGACAAAACAATAAAACCTAAAAAGTAAAGAAAACTATTACTGTATCTTGACCTCCACTTAAGATATATCCCTTTTTGAAAAGCTTTATGCTTCAGAAATCTTTATTTTAACCAGAAATAAAGGGCTTTTCTTTGTCTTGTTTGTTTTTCAGGATCTTTTTATTGGTGCACCATAATCATACATAACAGTGAGATTCGCCATCATATCTGCACCTTTATACAATATAACAAGAAAGGGCTTTTCTTACATATTAGATGAAAACTTCAGTTTATTTCCACTTTTGTCCCTCATTTAAATTCTATGTAATGAAAAATTACATGCTGATTATGGTTCATTGACCAGGGAATCTGTATTTTCCACTAATCAACTGAGCATTTTCTATTTGGGGATTTAGCTGCTTGAGGCTTCCTCCTTTTTCCAGGTATTAGGTCTATTATCAGCCTCAGCAAACATAAAGAATAGGAACTCCTCACAAAATCCGACACTTTAGACCTGGAAGAGAAGGAAGAGAGAATATAACCAATTCCATGATTCTCCAACTTATTTAATACACCTAAGTAGATAGTAAGCTATTAGATTGATGGAGAATCAGGTGGACCTCAAACTGTATAGAGTTAAAGGGGAAAGGAAGTTTCGTATTCTCTATTATTCTCTATTCTTGGTTAGAGATTTATTTCTGTGCCCTTAGCCACTCTTTATTTCTCAGTCCTGATTTGAAGACTCTCTATTCTCTTTCTCTTCACAGCTTATCCTCAAAACAGATGCTTTTCATAAAATAAGTGAAAATCATGGAGGGGGGAGAAACCTAATATAAAGAAAGTACATATAGAGAGTGACAAAAGACATAAAATTATAAAGCCTTGAAAAAAGAAGTCATGAGTATTCTTCTTTTTAGGAAAAAAAAAAAAAAAGACACGTTGCTATCTTAGAGCCAAAAGGAAAAACTCCCTGGAAGCTTTAAGACCAAAATGTTTGAATAAACCATTACTGTTTCTCACTCTAAGAAATTATTTTTAGATTTTTACAAAACATTCATCCAAAGAACTGAATTTGGTAAGAAATGCTATGAACAAATGGAAAGAATGCATTTCTCACTGGAGTCTTTTTTTTTCCATAGATAAAATCGCTATTCCAGACTTCGGCACTGGTGCCATGGAGAACTGGGGACTTGTCACTTACAGAGAAACAAACCTGCTTTATGATCCTCAGGAATCAGCCTCATCCAACCAACAGAGGGTGGCCACTGTGATTTCCCACGAACTTGTGCATCAGGTGTGCATGGGATATTGGCATCAAGTCAACTTTCTTTTTTTTTTTTTTTTTTTTTTCGGTTACTAGGGATTGAAGTCAGGGGCACTCAACCACTGAGCCACATTCCCAGCCCAGCCCTGTTTTGTGTTTTATTTAGAGACAGGGTCTTACTGAGTTGCTTAGCGCCTCGCCATTGCTGAGGCTTGCTTTGAACCCACAATCCTCCTGTCTCGGCTTCCCAAGCTGCTGGGATTATAGGCATGCGCCACCACATGTGGCTCAACTTGCTTTTGAAACAGACTTAAAACCATAGGACTAATTCAAATTATCTATGACTTAGCAAATAAAAAATAGCTGATTCAGAAAATCCTGCATGAAGACCATTCTTAGTGCTAATACGTATTTAACCATAAAGAAACTTTAAAAAAAGTATTTTGCCATTGGTAAATGCACAGGCCTTCCTATAACTTTATAGATTCTCAGTAATATCTAAATAAAGGTAATAAGGCAAGGAGAATTTAATATCATTTAAAGATCCGGATAAGTAAAGCAGGAAATAAATACAGTGCTTGCCACTTCTCTGTCACGGTGTCAAAATTTAGATGGATAACTAACTGTTTTGAATTTTTCTAGTCTCTTCTACCATAAGAAGAATTGAACTCTATTGCTTATCATTTCAGTGGTTTGGAAATATTGTAACCATGGACTGGTGGGAAGACTTGTGGCTGAATGAAGGATTTGCTTCTTTCTTTGAATTCCTGGGAGTAGACCATGCAGAAAAAGAGTGGCAAATGGTGAGCCCAGAGCACATGCATTCCAGATCTCTTCTTCTCATTATGCAAAGCACGATAATGGGCCAGTGTTGGGATCCAAGGGTAATGTGCTTGGGAAGTTCATTGTGAGAATAGGGTGGAGCCAGCTGGCTTCCAGAGAACTATGCTTAAAGCCAATGCCTGGTCCCTACAAGGCAACTGACCACCACATCAGATATCCCTGAGAGATATCCTTGAGTATATCTTTGAGAGAATCACTTAAAAATACATGTTGAGGCAGGAAAAAATGAATAAAAAGACAGCCAGCATAGAAAATGGCCACCCTATGTTCAAGAAGTATCTACGTGCTAGCCCTTTGAAAAATGTCTGTCTTATTTTGCAAACTATTTACCTTAGACAGGGTGCTCTAATAGTGTGGTGAAGAGATAAAAGAATAAACTTAGTAGTTAGCTACAAGTTCAAATCTCAGACACATCATTTCTTAGATTCATGACAGAAATGTGACCTTGAGCAAGTTACATAAGCTCTCCTTAGTTCTCTCTTCAGTGTTCAATAAGCACATTGTTTTCTATCTTAGAAGCTTTAAAAGCTTCCAGAATATACATATATTGACTATTAACCTAAAGTGTACCCCTGAGGGACCTGGAAAAAAAATACCCATGTAAACTCTATAGATTTTTTGTTTGTTTGTTTTAGAAAACTTAGCTGTACTTTGTATTTATATTTAGATGGTGTTAGTATTCTTATCTGATTGTACCTATGAATGTGTGTGTCCACAGAGATGTAAATGTGGGAGTAGAATTAGGAGATTGTGTTTGATGTAGAATACTGCCCTCTACTGGGAAGAACTAAAAATATAAATGCCTGAAACCCTTGCCATTTCCCTAATCTGCTTTAAAAAAGTAAAAAATCTAATTGGCAATTATTGCTTTTTAAAATTTTTAATCTATATCATGATTTTTTATCCATGGAACTGTTGACATCAGGGACAAGATAATTCTTGTACCCATCTTGCCCCAGTTGTGACAACCAAAAAATGTCCTCATATACTTCCAAATGGCACCTGAGGACAAAAAATTTCCTGGAGTAGATGAGAACCACTCATCTACACTGAAAATGTATGATTTTATAATTTATTGAAAATAAACTACATAAATAGAAAATCATTTCAGCCTTCTTTCAAAGGAATCCAATGCCCTTCTTATATCAAACTGTTGTAAAAAAATTATGTTTGAATAGTGTCTGATATTTTAGTTTCAATGTTTGTTTCAAGAACACTGATAAAATTCCAGAAAGATTTGGTATTCAGATCTTGAAATTTCAAAAAAAATTTAATCATACTGTATAATATATTCACAGTTTATCTGTTCCTTCATCCATTCATTTATTCTTCATTTAGGAAAACTAGAGAGGACCCAAAAATAAACAAAATGTATTCTAAGCCCTTAATGAGTTCCTAATTCAAAGTCTTATTGGTGAAGGGGTCAGATAAAGAGAAATGTTTTGTGAGAGAACTTTATAGTATCACAATAGTTAAGCCTTATTTCTTTGTTTTTTTTTTAATCTAAGCTTTCTTTTTCTTTGTTTTCCATATTTTTATTGGTTCATTATAGTTGTACATAATCGTGGGATTCATTGTTATATATTCGTACATGTACACAATGTAACAGTGTAATTTGGCCAATATTGTTCCCCAATATTTCCCCTTTCCCTCCCTCCTTCCTCTACCAATCCCTTTCCTCTACTCTACTGATTTCCCTTCAAATTTCTTGAACCGCAACCCTTCCACATTTCCTTTCCTTTTTCCCCTCTAATTTACACATATGAGAGAAGACATGTGACCCTTGACCTTCTGAATTTGGCTTTTTTCATTTAACACAATGTTCTCAGGTTTCCTTCATATTTGTGTAGATGACATACTTTCATTCTGTATAGCTGAATAAACTTCCTTGTGTATATATACCACATTTTCTTTAACCAGTCATCTGTTGATGGATACTGAGGCTGATTTCATGATACTTGGCTATTGTAAATTGTGCTGCTGTAAACATGAGTTTGCATGTATCACTATAGTACGATGACTTCAGTTCTTTGGAATGAATACTGTGGAGTGCTGTATCTGGGTCTATGGTGGTTCCATGCCTAGTCTTTTGAGAAACCTCCATACTGATTTCCATAGTGGTTATACTTTTTACAATCCCACCAACAGCATAAAAGTGTTCCGTTTTCTCCATATCCTCTCCAGAATTTACTGTTGTTCGTATTTTTGTTTTTGTTTGTATTCTTGACTGCCATTCTGACTGGAGTGAGATGAAAGCTCAGTGTAGTCTTGAGTTGCATTGTAGAACCTCCTTTCATCAGTGAAAAAACTCTGAGGGCTAGGAAGTTCACATGAGCTTTCACATAGACAATAGATATTGAAGCTAAGACTGCAGTCCAATTTCCAGATACTGAGAACAGGATTCTTTCTATGCAAACTGCCTATATGTACAAAAATCAAAATCCAAGTCAAAATTAAACTTAACTAGCAGTCATCATTTGACAGCAGTACCTTGCCTATTATAAATAGACACCATAAAATTGGAAAATGTCAACAAATATGCCATGCTCCCCTTTGGGAAATATTTTAAATTAAGTAGGCTCAATAAAGTTTCTGATTTTTAAATTACTAATGACTTAACAAAGTTAAAGTTCAGATTCTTATTCTTTAAGAAATAAAATCATAATAGCAGCTAAGGTGTTAGTTTTCCTTTCATGCCAGGATCTATGTCAAGTGCTTACCATGAATTATATCTTCAATCCTGTGCACAAGTCCACAAAGAAGATGCCATTATTACCCCTGTCTAGTGAGGGAGGGAACTTGCTTAAAGATAGCTTAGAACCAGTGAAGTTGGGCTATACTTTTAGGCCTCTCGACCACTCTGTTTTGCTGAGAAACACAAAATGAGAAGTGATTATAAGAACTGAAGAATAAGCTAGTTGTTTTTTATTAATTATAAGTTATCCAAATTCCAAGGACAAATTCACAGGAAATAAAAACTGAACCTCAGCTTCAGCAGATTGACATGCTACTTTACTTAATTCTCAGAACAAACTCATGAAATGATGTCACTGCTCCCATTGCACAGATGTGGCTATGGGGCTTAAAAAGTTTGGAATAGTCCAAAAGTCACACAGAAGTGGTAAAACAGAAATCATACCCATTTTTGTCTTTTTGGCCTGTTTATAGGAGAATGAAGTCAAAGCAGTTATAAATAGAAGAAGGAAATTAAATCAGTACAGATCAATCAGTGCAAAATATGACTAATTTGAAGGCCTACTGTTTGTTTCAAATAATTTGAGTAATTTATATTAATTTTCTCTCAACTTTTATTACATATGGTATTACAAAATGTGCACCAGTCTAAAGGAAGTGCTCTATTTCTTTGGCTCGTTCTGTCATTTCAGCGTGACCAGATATTACTTGAAGATGTATTACCTGTACAAGAGGAAGATTCTTTAATGTCTTCACACCCAATAGTCGTCACCGTGACAACCCCTGATGAAATAACATCTGTTTTTGATGGAATATCCTATAGCAAGGTGGGGAACTGTGGCATTGCTTTGAAATCTTCCTGTTTACTGACTTTTCTTTCAAGTAGAGGCTAAAAATGGTAAGAATGGTAGTATACCAAGTGGGCTCTGATTTTTATAACTAATAGTAATTTAACAGTTACATTTTATAATCTGGTTGCTTAAAGATCAAGATAATGATAACTGGGCATTGCCTCAGGATTTTTGAATTCAGTGTTTGAATTTTTCTCTTTTCATTTGTGCTTGTACCTGCTTCCTGCTTTCATTCTGATAATTGAACATTTAGTCTTTTTTTTTTTTTTTGTATCAGGAATTGAATCTAGGGACACTTAACCACTGAGAGACATCCTCAGCCTTTTTTAAAAAAAAATATTTATTTTTTAGTAATAGGTGAACACAATGTCTATTTTACCTTATGTGGTGCTGAGGATCAAACCCAGTGCCTCACATATACTAGGCGAGCTCTCTACCTCTGAGCCACAACCCCAGCCCACCTCAGCCCTTTTTTATATTTGATTTTTAGATAGGGTTTTGCTAAGTTGCTGAGGCTGGCTTTGAACTCACGATTCTTCTGCCTCAGCCTCCTGAGCCTCTGGGATTACAGGCATGTGCCACCATGCCCAGCAAACATTTAGTCTTTTTTAAAAAATATTTATTTTTTAGTTTTAGGTGGACACAATATTTTACATTTATGTGGTGCTCAGGATCAAACCCAGTGCCCCATGCATCATAGGCGAGTGCTCTAGCACTGAGCCACAATCCCAGTCCCAAATATTTAGTCTTTAAACATCAAATTTAAAATTGTTTTAAAGGCAGTATATCTTACTTTTCTGCTATGTGGTCTGTCAGTGAGGAATCCCATATATGTGGGCACTTTTTCTAGTAGAATCCTTTAATGCTCCCAGTAAACTTAAATCTAAATCAGTTAGAAGGAAATATTCTTATCCATTTTTAGATAAAATTTAAAGATGACTTGTAGCATTTTATAAATGAGGAATTCTTATCCAATAAAACTTGTATGAAACACTGCTGAAAATCTATAAGCCAAAGTTTTGTGCTACCTGTTCTCTCCCACAATAGCTCCTGCAGTTTCTCCTTCAGACATATCCCATTCCTATATGTCACATCATTTAAAACTTTATTTTTGTAATTTTCCACTCTGGTTTCTTATGGTTTACCCACTACATTAAGTTACTCAAAAACTACTGCAAAGTAATACAGTTTGGTTTGGGTTTTTTTTTTGGGGGGGGCATTGATTTTTTGTACCAAGGACTGAACTCAGGGGTGCTGAACCACTGAGTCACATCCAAGACCTTTAAAAATACACACACACACACACACACACACACACACACACATATATATATATATATATATATATATATATATATATATATGTATTTTTAGTTGTAGTTGGGCACAATACCTTTATTTTATTTATTTTTATGTGGTGCTAAGGATCAAACCTAGCGCTTGCACATGCTAGGAGAGAGCTCTACCACTGAGCCAAAACCCCAGCCCCCCAAGACCTTTTTATGTTTTATTTTGAGATTGGGTCTCACTAAGTTGCGTAGGACCTTGATAAATTGCTGAGTCTGGCTTTGAACTCACTATCCTCCTGCCTCAGCCTCCTGAGCCACTGGGATTGTAAGCATGCATCATCATGACCAGCATTTGTTATTTTAAGTGATGCCTAAAATATAGTTTTATTTATTTATATCATAATTATTGAAATAAATACTTATTAAACTTGACTTAAGTGAAAAAAAACTATGTTTTAGTATTTGAAATTTATAGCATCATATGTTTTGGCTTTCCTTCTCATATTATTCCTATGGTGTCTTTTTTAGTCTTCTTTAATTCTTTTTCCTTCATATTATCAATGATTCTTTTTATCTTTCTGTTAAAATGAAAATTTCTTATTTACTTAACAGTCTATTTCATTAACTCCCATGGGAGACGTTAGAACAAGTTTCAAACACCCAGAGTCATAAGTATACCCAGGACTTAAGATATTAGGGCAAAAATAAATAAATATGTTTCTATGACATAATAGCTTTTTCACTATGTCTGAAAACAATTTAAAATGCTTGCTAAAGTATGGTAAAAATTACTAAGTAGGGGAGGCAATGTTTTTCTGGTCAATTACTCAAAAATTTATTTAAAAATCTTATAAATAGTGTATCTTAATATAAATCTTATAACATGTGAAAGGAAAGTAGAAAACAGGTATTCATCAGATTATTCAGACAAAAGAAAACCACATAGATAAACTACTTTTACAGAGGAAGATTTTTTAAATCTAAATTATATACTATTCATATTAAATTGATCAGATAAATCTTCAACTCTCTACGTCCCTCTGATAAATACAATATATTTTTTCCTGCATGGAGATACATTTTATAATTTGTGAGAATTTTACACTGAACTCTTTCTTCATTCATCAAAGACCCTGATCTTTAGACAGTTTCTTTCATTTACAAAGCTCCATCTGCTGGTTCATTTGGAGAAGTGCAATAATCATTGGAACGGTAAGTCACTGAAGTGAGGGCCATTTTAGCAATTTCTTTACCTTTTGGTTATTTTAGAAACATAGATACTAGGGTGTACAAAATGGAATTTTATCCTAAAATCTAGAACCATATAATTTAATAGAATCATCTTCAATAAATAATCTCACAAATATGATGTTGAAATACCAGCCACAGTAGTGATAACTGATATTTCTCTATATAATCTTTATTAGTTTTATTTGTCACTTCTTTTCCCATCATAGGGAGCTTCTATTCTTAGAATGCTTGAAGACTGGATAACACCAGATAAATTTCAAAGAGGATGTCAGGTATGATTTATTACTTTAAGTGGTATTGAAAGTAAGCTACACTGATCTGTGACTGATGAATGTTAAGAAATGTTGCTCATTAATGATAATTCCTTTTTCATTTTCCTTACTCAGGGATAGACAGTATGGCAAAAGATAAAAGGTTATTTTACATCCAGTTAAATGCCTATATTGTATCTAAATTATCAAGTTCCAGAAGTTTCATGGAGAAGTTTAAACAGCTTAGTTATCTTTGATACACTTTACATGTGCTCTAGCCAGCTCTCGATTCCATAGCAAATTAGTCTTGATGGCTCAAACAAAAGAAATTTATTTTCTCTCAGTATTGGAGAATGAAAGTCCAAGAATCAAGATGCTGGCCAATTTAATTCTGGTGAGGGTCCTCTTCCTGTCTTGCAGATGGCCACCTTCTTGCAGTGGCCTTACATGACAAAGAAGAAGCACTGTGGTGTCTTTTGTAAGAACAATAATATCATCAATAGGGTCTCACCCTCAGTACCTCATCTAAATAGGAATACCTTACAAAGGCCCTGCTTCTAAATACCATCACATTGAGAATTGGGTTCAGCATACGAATTTCAGGGGAACACAGTCATTCAATAGTAATATGATATGAAAATTTAAATCTATCTGTAAGGGTCTTCCCTTTACAGTGAGTATAAGACTTTTTCCTTATGATTGGATTGGAAAGTAATTAATTAAAATATCTTTTTTTTTAAAGAAATAGAGAGAGAGAATTTTTTAAATATTTATTTATTTTTTAGTTTTCAGTGGACACAACATCTTTATTTTTATGTGGTGCTGAGGATCTAACCCAGCGCCCTGTGCATGCCAGGCAAGCACGTTACTGATTGAGCTACATCCCCAGCCCAAAATATCATTTTTTTATGATGGAATCAATAAATAAAGAAGACCAGCTTCCTTTCAGAAAGGGAAATTTTAAAAATCTTTCTAAATTTAAATTTTTCACACATCCCACTTAAGCATATTTTCCAGTGGATGATCTGGTTTCAGTTTTGTTTTTCTTGCAGACTTTTATCCAATTGTCTCATGGTTGGTGTTTTATAATATGTATCATTAAAGTCATTATAATGTGTCCCCATAATTGCCCTATCTACAGATTGGTCCCCTCCCAGCCTAGAAAAGGAAAACTGTTCCTACCTCTTCCTTCTCCAAACTCCCTACTGTGATAACCCAGGTAGTTACAGGGAACAGTGTGGACATCCAACCCATAAAGCAGAAATAGAAGACAGGTTGGAGCAGAGCCCCCACTAACTCTCACATGGAGGACCAGTTCCTTTTGGGGATGTGATTCCCCAGGACAATGCCTCCATTCCTAAAGCTCTCACTATGGCCATCTCTTCTCACATGGAACTTAATCCTATGATACTCAAAAGGAAGCAAGCCCCTCCAGACCAATATTAAGATTCTCAAGTGACTATTAAAGTAACAAATAAGACTAAGATTTAGGAAATATTTAGGGAGTGCACTACTGTATTTTTTTAGTAGTTTTGTTCATTAATAAAATATTCTGTGTGGACGTGAGATGCAAAGGGAGAAGCTGTACGTGTGAGCTTACATGCACATGAGAACATCTTGTAACTTTTCCATCAAACTCAATTTTTTTTTAACCTGGGGGTGGGGGGCTTTTAATCACTGAGCCATATCCCTGGGCCTTTTTATTTTTTAATTATGTAACAGGGTCTTGCTAAGTTGTTTAGGGCCTCACTAAATTGCTGAGGCTGGCTTTGAACTTGCAATTCTCCTGCCTCAGCCTCCTGAACTGCTGGGATTACAGGTGTGCACCACCACACCTGGCTCAGACTCAAATTTCATCTCATCTTCCCTCATTGTGAGCACCCTATAGAGGAACTCTCTCTTCAACATCTTTGCATATTCTCCAATGCCTAGTAGAAAATGTTACACATACTAGGTGATCCAGAAGATGTTTGTTGAATGAATGAGTGAATAGTCTATAATAAATAACATTGTAGAGCACAGAAATAAAAAAGAAATTTCATTTTCAAAAATGGTGTTAAAATTCCATTTGCAGAGCTTTCATTCTAAATCATTTTCATTTAAAATTTAAAATTTCATTCTAAATTTTCACTAATAAACCACACATTTTTTCACTAATAAATCACACATTCACACATCTTCAGATCTGACTTCAAAGACTGACTTTAGAGCTGATCTTTCTTATTCACTTATTTAGAGAAGGGCCAAAAAAAAGTCCTTAAAAACAAATAGCTAAACTAATAATTCAATAATACACATTTCCTTTAACCTAATATCTATTATCATTAATTTAAAAAGTTGTCCCAAACTAACATTTCTCAAGTTAAAATCTTCCTTTAACTTAACTATGATCATATGTAGTGCTAAAACCTAACTGGCATGAATAGATATTAATTTTTCATACCATTATAGTGCTATGAAATGAATTTATAAAAAGAACCACTAAAATATTTATCTTTTTCTCTCAAATACTAGCTAATATCTAAAAATAGCATATGATCAATATATTCCACATTGAGTAAGCTCTCAGACCAGCTGGGACATTCTTTCACATAGTTCAGGCACCTGAAAAATAGACTCCTTGAATTGCAATCACCACACTATGATTGTTGCCCGGAAGTCCCACAGTCTGTCAGACTGGAGTTACTGCTCTTTTCCTTACAGATACTGATTCTCTGTCAGAAGTGGCTGCATTAGTTAACCTGGTGGTGATGAATCTGGGAATGGCAGATATCTGTTCTCTTTCAAGCTTATCATGCCCCCCAAATCCAACCTCAGGAAACAAAATATTTAGATGGTGTGGGGAATAAAAGCAAAGTCATTCATTATTTTTGATAGATAAATCATTAAAATTTGTCTATTAAAAATAATAGATCATGGGTCATTAGTAACAATATGTGGTTATGGAAAAAAAATGAAAGATACTATGTCCTTTATTTTTCTTGTAGTATTAATAGTATCCCTGGTAAGACAAGAATGCTGAGCTGGAAAATGTGCTCATGTGCTTTTCCTTCTGGGAATACTAGCAATAGAAACACTGTTCCTTTCCTTCTGTGCTCACGAATGTCATCTTATGAGGGACTGTGACCTAGGTTGTTGCATAACTTTAGCTGGAATGACTACATTGTGAATATTTGTGGTGAAGAAGGAAAGTTCTTCAACCAGAATATTCAAAAGTGGTCATCAAAACAAAATAAAAATTAATACCTTTTCATATAGTGTTATATAAATTTTCATTCAGCCTCTAGTTCTAGAGAAGCAATAAATTGCAATTAAAAAAATAACAACCACCATGATAAAATCCACACATGCTGATCCATGATTCAGAATTCTCTTCATAGTAATCTTAGGCAAATCTCTTCACCTTTTTAGGCACTCAGGTAGTTAAACAGAGTGGTTTTCTTCATCTAAAAAATGTGGGCAATGTACTAAGTAATATTTAAAGTCCCTTCTAGATCCAAGATTTCCTGTTTCTAAGCTCAAGACCTTGTGAGTATACAAATAAAACCTAAATTAATTTAAAAAAGATACTCGTCAATATAAATTGTCATTAACACATAGACATACCAAATAGTAGTATACCAAATATTCAATTTTTTTTAAGATATAATGAATGATTAGTGCAATACTCTGGAATCAATACCTAAAAATGATAGTTTCTTCTCTCTTCCTTTGCCTGCCCTCTGGTGGTAGTGCTGAGAAGTGAATTAATCAAAAGAATTTAAATGGAGTCAATGTTCCAAATGGGCCTTAGTGCTCCCCCAGGCTTCCTGGGGTCCTACTAATCTTGTTTAATTTCTCTGTCCTTGGATTGAAGAGGAGTTTAGAAGATAATGTGACTTAGGTACAGCACCTACTGAAAATTTACAGCAACTTAAGAGGGAAAATGATATGCACCAAGTTAACCATGAAGAACATCTAAGGAGCCAGAGATTCTGTGGCACCCACCTGTAATCCCAGAGACTCAGGAAGCGGAGGCAAGAGGATCCTGAATTTGAGGCCATTCTAGGCAACTTAGAGAGACCCTGTTTCAAAATAAAAAATAAAAAGGGCTGAGGATGTGGTTCAGTGATAGAGCACCCTGGGTTCAATCCCAGCTTTGGAAAAAAAAAATTTTTTTTAAAGAAGTTTCTATTTATATCTAAGATTTCTTCATTTTAGGGTTTTTTTTGGGGGGGGAGGGAGTGGTATTGGGGATTAAACCCAGTGTGCTTAACCACTGAGTCATATTCCCAACCCTTCCTTTCTTCCATTCTTTCTTTTTCTTTATTTGAAACAGGGTCTCACTAAGTTGCTCAGGATTTTAGTAAATTGTAAGGCTGTCCTCAAACTTGCGATCCTCCTGCCTTGGCCTTCCAAGTCTCTGGGAGTACAAGCATGCAACTACCATGTCAGGCTTAGACATCTGCATTTTAAATGGGAAATAATTCAAAAAAGTAAAGGAGTGATGCAGCAGGACAGAAGAAACTTCAGAAAGTTTCCTGCAGAACCTCAAGCAGTGTCCAGATATGGGATGAGAAGACTGGGAATTTTCTTTGGGGCTCTATCACATTAGATCTGAAAATTCATATACAGAAAAGGTTTTGTGAACAGAACAGCCCAAAGAGGGAACCTTCTATTTAAAGATTCATATTTTGTTAATATTTGAAGAATAAAGATTTATTCTTTAAATTTAATAATTTCCTCACTCCATCCATCATCATTATTATTGTTATTGTTAAAAAGACTATACATTTATTTCCTTAGAGCAGAGGTCAGCAAACTACTGTTCAAATCCAGGCTACCACCCAACTTTGTAAGTTTTGTGAAGTAAAAAGGCTTTCTACATTTGAGAATGGTTAAAAAAATCAAAATAGAATATTTCATAACATGAAAATTACATAGAATTCAAATATAAGTGTGCATATATGTGTTTTTTGGAGAACAGCTATGCTCATTCATTTATACATGGCCTGTGGTTGCTTTTGTTATAGAGGCAGAATTGAGCAGTTGTGAGGAGGGCTTCAAATCATGTTATAGAATCTCGAAAAGGCAGCACTGACTTCCAAAGTACTTGTTATCTTTTACATACAGATTTACTTGGAAAGATTCCAATTCAGGAATGCAAAGACTTCAGATTTTTGGGAAGCACTGGAAGAGGTAAGGAGGAGTACACCCCTAAGTATTTCTTGTTCTGACTTACAGAAGATTTACTAATCATTTCTTTACCTGACTGTTCTATTTTTTATCTTCCCTTGTTTGTAAATTAATTAATCTCTCTCTATTTTTTTTTTATCTTAGGCAAGTGAGAAGCCGGTGAGAGAGGTAATGGACACCTGGACTAGACAGATGGGTTATCCTGTGCTAAATGTGAATAAAACAAGCGTCACACAGAAGCGTTTTCTGTTGGACTCAAGAGCTGATCCTTCCCAGCCACCTTCAGATTTTGGGTAATTCATTTCAGAAAAAAAGTAGAAATTTGGCAGAAATACTTGTCATTTACTTAGATACTGCTCTCCAGTACATGTTCAATGTGTTCAAATAGCCAGGTGGTCTCCAGGTTCAAAATGGTAGACTGAGCACATGTTGCTCTTCCCAAGGTATGAGTGAATGGAGGAATGAATATACTTAAAATCAATAAACCCTTAAGAGTAAGGAAAATAAATGGGTGGGACTACATTCGTCATAGAATTTTATGAAATAAAAGCAGAAGGAGAAATACTGACAGAAAACCAACTGAGGAAAATGCAGCTAGATGATAGTAAAGGGATCTCCTTGTCCCTAGTCAGGGTCTGGGCTCAGTGTCAGCATGAAGAATGCACAGCAGGAGTGAGAAGCCAAGCTGAAAGTAGGACAATTTTTATGACATCTAGAAGTAGGACTTGTGCCGCTCCACTTTCTCCATCCACTACTAGTCTTTTCTCTATAAGGAACTCTAAGAAATCTGGTTGTGACCCCAGGGCAAGAATGCAGAGGGCTGTTTACTAAAGAAGTAAACCAAAACAGTGGAGCTAAGCATTTCCATTTCATTAGGACTCCCAGACTATAGCATTGATTCATAAGTGTAATTTATTGGCTTTCAACTTTTATAATCAACCAATGGATAACATGTAACAGTGTTGTTATGGTGGCAGAATACATTGGAAATATAACCTATCTTATCATTATAATCAGAAAAAATACCTGACAGAAGAGAGGAGGTGGAAAAGGGAGAAAAAGTGAAAGAGAGTGTGGGCTACTTACTCAGTAGTGGCAGGTCTCTTCCCATGTTGTCCATGATGCTGTTCTGGTAGCTCAACCCTGGAAACAGTGGGAGCATCATGTGAAAAAGGGCAAATACTCTTTTGTCCTCTGAGAGCTGATTGTTAAGCAAGAGCACTCCAGGGGCTGTCCTCGCTTAACAGTTAGGAAAGTGGTAAAAACAAAAACTTCACGAAGCAAGAGTGGTGGAGTGAGTATATTATTTAGCGGTACATTGTAACCTATAGAAAACTAAAAACCATTTTATTTTATTTTACTTTTTTTGTTAAGTTTTAAAAAGAGAATGGAAAAGAAAGTAATATAAGTGCACCAAGTCACCCTCCAGTGGATGAGTTAATACATATTGTTTAAACAAAAATAAATAAATAAAGTTAGGATGCAGAACTAAAACCAGAAGCACTTAAAAGGAGAGATGCTAGGGGCTGGTGTGGTGGCTCAGAGGAAAAGCACTCGCCTAGCATGTGTGGGGCACTGAGTTTGATCCTCGCACCACATAAAAATTAAATAAAGGTATTGTGTCCACCTACAACTAAAGAATAAATATTTTAAAAAATAAAAATAAAAAAGGAGACCCTGAGTAAGGTGCAGGCCAGGGTGGGGAGGATGGAAAGCAAACTGTGGTTATTCAACAGTTTCCTAGTTTGTGATTAATAATGAGTTTATGTACAAATTTCACAAATCAAATTCTCTGAGCATTTAAGCAGCATTTAGAAACTTAATCAAATTCTCTTGCGTATAGCATGTGTAAAAACTTAGAATCAAATTCTTCTAAACACTACCAGTTACAGTTTCATTAAATTATTTTCTAATTTCCAAATACAAACACCTAAAGGTTTATAGATCTTTTTTGAAATTATTTGATATATTTTTAGAAATTAACAATTTAAAATACAAATACAGTTTATCAAATTAGAGTGACATTTCTTCATCATGTTAAAAATCAAACCCTCAACTTTACCAAGCAAGATTTTTCTAGACAATTGAAACATGGATACTGAGTTCAGGATTTCTAAGTATTTTAATTAATATTACAAATCCAATGTGTTGTTTTCTCTGATGTGCTAGGTTTTTAAAAATGTTCCAAAGAGTGTAAAAGTTGATAGAGCATGTACCTCACAGCCAGTGATCTCAAAACTCATTCCATTTGCACAAGTTCAACTTGTAAAGTCTTGATGATATGAGCATTTCTGCATAACTTATTTTGTATACATTTCTGGGGTGCCAAGCACCCCTCCAAATGAAAGGTAAAAATCAGACTCTCAGGACACCCAAACTGTATACAATATTTTGGGGATATCATCCTGGCCAGCTCAACATGCTGAGTCCCTCCTAGGTAGGTTACTAGGTGAACAGGAGCTGCATAGCCTATCACTGGTCCCTGGACATTGTTCCGGTTTCATCTAGTTCTAATTTTTATTGTCCCTTCTTGCAACTTTGAAATATTTGCTTGGGGTAAAGAGGATTTGAATTCATGCTCACCCAGGTGGCCTGCAATCTCCATTGCCTGATTCTCACTGAAGAGAATCGTCCTCCTGCTCTCTTTCTTAATGATTTCATTGGCATTATTTTATAATTCCTGTATAAGTCATTTGGTGAGCTCAATTAGTTAGTAGCAATTAGAATAACATGAAGAATGAGAGAATCTTAAGCTATGAAGAAAGTATTTTGGAAAGTGTTTAATAACTATGAACCAGTTCCTTCATAGTTACTATTTTATGTTCTAGCAAATTACATTTACTAAATTTATAATAGTGTTGGAGCTGTTTGATATTAAAATTTAAAAATATTTCTCTCTTGTGAAACAAGATTTCTTTGGGAAAGTTTCTTGGTAATTATTCTCTCTTGTCGTACATGCCCACTGATTGGCTGAGCCTGAATTAATTGGGAGAGAGGGATGGAGATGGCCAGGGTGGGGTCACAGAAAACATCTTTTTACCAGGATGAAATATTGAAGGTGAGCAAATTGGTGCAAAGGGAGTAAAATAAACTATAATATGGAGGAAGTCCTCAAAGGTTTTAAAAGGAGCTTTGTGAATACAATGTGTAACATTTACTAAGCCTTGACTAAGTAGCCAGCACTATTTTAAGCACTTTAGATGTGTTTGATGAGAACAGTTGAGGACAATGAAGCAGAGATCAAGGCGCTATCATTTACTGCGCGTGTGTATAACCTTGAATAAGTTAATGATAGCGCCTTGATCGGAACAGAAGGCAGTCTGGCTCCAAGAGACTGGAAGCACAGCAACTGGAAAAGTGGTGGGAGACGAAGGTGGGGAGAAAGGCAGGGACAGGTATGCAGGCCACATGAAAGATTTTGGACAACAGTGTGAAGATTCAAGGATTTTAAGGAGACAATTGGCAAGATTTGCATTTTTCCAAGTTCCTCTCTCGCTACATTATGGGGACATGAGTGGAATCAGGGAGACCAAATAAGATGACATTGCAGTGAATGACTCATGTGACAACTGGGATTGATGAGCCCAGACCCTATAGGAGGGTGGCTGTGGCTGAAAGTTGTAGCAGATATTCCAAAGATTTCAGTTCAACATTTTCAATTAAAAAATAAACAACAGCCGGATACAGTGGTGCACACCTATAATTTCCAACTGAGGCAGGAGGCTCACAAGTGTGCAAGAGAGACCCCGTCCCAAAATTAAAAAAAAAATTAAAAGGACTGAGGGTGTCCTTCAGTGGTGAGCGCTCCTGAGTTCAATCCCTAGTACTACAGTAAATAAACAAATAATATGCAAGTGACTTAATCAGATGAATTTGCAGAGAACAACTTCTTTTTAGACTATTGTGCTCATCCTGTAGGACAATGGTCATAGCCACATTTCTACAGAACTGAATGAATGATCTTTATAGACACATTTTACGATCCATATACCACAACCTGTTTTCTGTTTTTAATTCGGGACTTTGAGAATTGTCACACTAACAGCACACTCGGGTATTTAAAAAAATTAAAATTGCCAAAAATTGTCCAAGGTATGAGAGAATGGAGAGCACTCAGAATTATGAAATTAACTATTTCTAAGGTGCTGGCTGGAAAAGCCTGAGGCACTCACCTGGTAGGCCATTATCAGTCTGTGCGGGAACCACAGGAGCTCAGCTCTGTCACAGACAACGTGGTTCCAAGAAGCTGGGTGTCTTACTGTAACACAAATTCTGAAAATCAATAGTTCACACCAGCACAAGGAAAATACCAGACCCTACACCAATATGAAGACGCTGAGGGAGTGTATGTGTACACTTCTTTACTTTTTATTTCAAAAGGGAAAGATTAAAATTGAGAAAACCTCTTTATTTTTCACTCTTTCCTCTTCATGATACATGATTGAAATGTAGATTTGACTTAGTTTCAGGTGATAATTCAATGACAAAAGTCAACAAAACAGTTTCTGTGATGGTTCTGTAAACTATGAACTATTTCTTTTGTAGTTACTGTTTTATGTTCTAGTAAATTAGATTAGTCATATTAAATACTTCTACAGTCTTTGGATATTTGGGAAAAAAAAAGAAAGAAAGAAAAACTTGTTGGGCTGGAGATGAAACTCAGTGGTAGAGCATTTGCCTAACATGGGTGAGGCCCTGGGTTCGATCCCTTGCACTGGAAAAAAACCAAAAAACAAAACATTCTCTCTTGCAAAATAAGTTCCATTGTGAAAGTTCCTCAATAATTGTTTCCTCCTGTCACGTGTCCACTGACTTGTTAAACTAAAGACAGTCAACCAGTGTTGATTGGATTTTAACTACTCTTTGGCTATAAATTCCTCTTCACAAAAACAAAACAAAACAAAAAAATTATTACCAAGTGAGCCAAATATATCAGGAATAAAATCACTTTTTACAATAAATTACAATATATCCTTGAATTTTATTCATGAAACTTAAGAGTATGAAACTATCTTAACCCATTTTTCTCTAATATTTGTCTTGAATTCCTACTCTCAGATACTATTTTTATTTCATTTGGATTCATAGAAGCATGATTTTTGGTGACTATTTATCAAAAATCAACATACTTGTCCCAGTTTTGTAAAACAAAAGCAAGGGGATGTTATACATGAATAGGAAAAGAAACTTAGAAAATAGGTTTTTCCCTGTTGAGAATATTTGTTAAAAATCATCAGTAGCTCCTGAGAAATAAGAATACTGTTTTTTCACTTTATTTATTTATTTTTTTAAATCAAATCATGTACCCAGAAAGAAATGGTACCTTTCTCCAACCCCAAGGTTCATCTTCTCTCTGGTCAGATGTGTTCCTGTTGGGTGATCTGTGAGATGAATGGCCTCTTCTAAGTATGCTTCTCACTATTTAAGTAATCCAGAATGAGGAAAGTTTTTACTGAACAGAACCTTTTATAATTCAAAGGGTCCACCCATGTGTAGGCTTTTGCTTTAACATTATGGCGGCAACCTTCTCTTACAAATGGGCCACTTACCACGTCTCCAGCAGGCAAGTTTTCTTTCTTTCTTTTTTTTTTATACACTTTATTTTGTTTATTTAGTTTTATACGGTGCTAGGGATGGAACCCAGGGCCTCACACATGCCAGGCAAGCTCTCTATCCCTGAGCTACAACCCCAGCCCTGACAAGTTTTCTTGCCTTGAAAGTCCATCCATTGTAAACAGGCAGAAGAAGGGTGTGTCTTTCGGGGGGGCAATTAAAGTCAGTTTCCTTGGAGAAAACTAGATTGGCCACTTTTAGTATTGATGGAGCCCATTTCATGGTACCTTAATCACACACTTAAAAAACAAATCTTGATACTCATAAATTTTAGATGATATAATTTTCATTTCTTGACATTTTGTATTCCCAAATCTCTTATTTTATTCAGTTTAGATTAGGTTAGATTGTGTGATACTAAAAATTACCAAATTGTATTCATTTTTGTCTTAGGATAATCTTAAAATCCTCAGGGCAATATTTTTTTTTTATTTTTTAGTTGTAGTTGGACACAATACCTTTATTTTATTTGTTTATTTGTATGTGGTGCTGAAGATCAAGCCCAGCACCTCGCATGTACTAGGCGAGTGCATTACACTGAGCCACAACCCCAGCCCAGGGAAATATTTTTATACGTGACCTTGGTAGTATAGCTTCTGTCCAGTTTTAGGCATGGTGTAGTCCTACTGACCATGTTTTAGGGTGATAGCCAAGATGTGAAGTCACATTGTGCACATCCCAACACAGCATCCTCTGTTACTTCCGTTACGTTTGGCACTGGAGAAAGATGAAGAAATATTTGTTTGCGTGGCAGCATCAAATTAACAGAGCAACGACAGAGCAAAATATGTAGGATGTGGTTATTTAACAATGCCTGTCTTCTGAGAGGCTGCAAGGGCTCTTAGGATGGCTTCCATAAAAGCAAACCCTGAGATGATCATGTGAGTGAAAATGACTCCTTAGGAAGTGTCTCTAGGAAGGATGGTCACAGTGGGCATGGGACAGGGAAGGGAGAGGAAGGGAAGGCAGTCCAGCAGAGGTGCTGTATGAAGTAGTCCTGTGGAGAGTAACTGGCTCAGTCCTGCAGAGAATTTCTGGAACCTGTGCAGAACACTTCAGAGTGTTCCAGCGTGTTCCTGATGGATGGGGTAAGAAAGGTTCTCAACTTTCAACCCATACCAATCAGTCATTGTTAACTAAGGGTGGCTCCAGAAGAATGCAAATTCCCAGGAATTTCTGTTTTTCCTGCTGAGGCAGTTTGAGGACAGTCCTCTAACAGAGAGACATAGGTTTTGGTTGCTTCCAGAGAAAGCACATTGGAATCTGGGTTTCTAGGGGATAAGCATCAAGCTGTGTCCACAATAGGACCCCAGAAATAATTTATGTACTGGTTTTATGAAACTTATAGCCAAAAATTCCACTGCAATAAAATACTCCAAAGGACCCAGTAAAAAGTCCTTTAAAACACTTCAATAACATAAAGCAGAGGATTACTTTTTTCACATAGATAGCAAAAATCTATTCTTGAATGACAAATTTTATTATATCCTAAATGGGAGAAATGTAAATCCAAATTCTCTGTTAAGGAATTGAATGTTGACAGAGAAACCAACTTTGAGTAGCAATTCAAACCAGCTATTGGTACCTAGATTCATATTCTCTCTAGATACATGAGATGATGCATTTGTGATTGAGAGGAGAACAATCAAATGGCATTGATGATCTGTTTTTTGATATTTCAAGACTAAAATATTGGGAATATATTATATCCAAATACAAGCTACCTCTGCATACCAAGTAGCTAAGGAAAACAATTGGAAACCCCTGAAACATCTGATAATTTTTCCCTTTAGAGCACATGTGTTCTCATGATTCTAGCTAAGAGATACTTAGAAAAGAGCATGAAACTTTGAAGGGGGGGGCGGGTTATGGTGGTGGTACAATTTCAATCTAACTTCTAAAATGTATTTCTTTAACAGAATTTTACAGACTGCCTTTTGAATTTTAACAATGTTTTGTGCTCCTTAACAGAAGCCATCAAATATAAAGTGTACATAATCATGTATTCAGATGCTCAATATTATATGTTATATTTCTACAATTTCTGCAATTTCTTTATTTCAAAGCCTCAAAGCACTTCATTGAATAATAATCTTCATTCTTGGATAATTTTTTGATGCAAATTTCCACAGTTCATAAATTTATAGACATTGAGAGCAGTTACCTGAACTATTTTTATTACTAAAGTATGATTTATTAACTGTATTGGTTGCATACTATACATTGGATGATCATATAAGGAAAACATGTTTGTCTTGATTTTTATTTTTGATTTTTTATCGTTTAGTAATAAAGTTAAATTTTTCTCTTTTAAAAATTTTAGTTACACATGGAATATTCCAATTAAATTGACTGAAAATGATGTACCACTCAGTGCCTTCTACAATAGGTCAGAAAAAGAAGGTAAATATTATCAATTGATTGATTTATTCTTTGAATTGGTGTTCTACATTAAATTAAGTGTGGAGAGTTACCCATAAGCTGAAAATCAAATAAATTTTAGCTTAAAGAAACCTCTTAAATAATTTATTGATGATTATAAATCTTTATCTGCAATAATGACTTTTCTACTTTGAGATTTTTTTTTTAATCATTTACCGAGATTGACATACCCAGCCTTGGGAGATCAAAGTATAAGTTTGCTTCCTTCCCTTCATCTTTCCCTCTCTCTCTCTCTTCCTTTCTTCCATTTTTATCTTTTTATCAAACAAGTAAGTCATTGAATTTCTTAAAATGTTATGTGGCAGGCTTGGGTTTTTTTTTTAATGTTCTCATTAAATTAGACCAATCATTTTCTGAAAATTTATCTCTTGTTCTCTCCATTGATTTGTCTTTTTCTTACTTGAAAAATTCTAAAGTTATATAGAAACAAGGAGACATTATCATAGACCTCCACGTCACCAAAAAATAAAAATAAATAAATAAGACAGGTTTTAGCACTAATCCCAGAAGAATCTTGCTTTTAATACTTTTACCGATGTACTTGTTTTATGTCTAAAAACTTGTCTTTTATTTTTATTTTGCAGTCCTGGGGTTTGAACTCTGGGCCTCTTGCATGCTAGGCAAGTGCCCTTCACTAAACTATATCCCCAGCCCTTTTTATTTATTATTTTGAGACAGGGCTGTCACTAAATTCCTCAGGCTAGCCTTGAACGTCTGATTCTCCTGTCTTAGCCTTCAGAGTCTCTGGATTTACAGGCATGTGTCACTGCACTCAACTCAAAACAATTCTTACGTAAGACAAACTAGACTGTGTCCTTTGCTCCATTCCATCAGGACTTGGTCTCAGGAGAGCACTGGGCATACACTTTCACCTGTGGCTTCTTAAGGCCAAGCAGATCATTTGTCTGTGGTTATGGTTTGGGTATAAGTTGTTCCCCAAATGCTCATGTGTGAAACAACGCAGGAAGGTTCAGAGGAGAAATGATTGAGTTGAAGTCTCAACCCAATCAGTGACTTAATCCCCCTGAGTGGGATTAACTGAGTGGTAACTGAAGTGGTAGGGTGTGGCTGGAGGAGGTGGGAATTAGGGCGTGGCTTTGGGGTATATATTTGTATCTGGAGAGTGGAAGTCTCTCCATTTTCTGTTTGTCATGTTAGCTGCTTCCCTCTACTATATTCTTCCGCCATGATGTTGGGCCTCATTTAGAGCCCCCAGGAATAGAATTGGCCTTCTGTGGACTAAGACCTCTGAAACCATGAGCCCTCAAATAAACTTTTCCTCCTTTAAAATTGCTCTGGTCAGATCCTTTAGTCACAGCAGTGAAAAAGCTGCATATGCCTATAACATCCCAAAATGTTAATTATGTCTGAGTTCATCTGGCAAGTAAATTTTATTCTTTATTCTAGTTGATTTTTTTAAATCAGCTTTATTGAGGTATAAGTTGCATACCTTTAAATTTACCCATTATTTTCTTATTTTACAGTGCTGGAGATTGAACTCATGACCTTACACATGCACAGCACACACTCTATCACTAAGCTCCATCCCACTCCACAGTTCATCCATTTAAAGTAAAATCCAATTTTTTTTGTTGTTGTTGTATATTCACAGTCATATCAGCACAGGCAATTTAGAGCATTTTTATTACCTCAGAAAGAAACCCTACCTTTATCTATCATCTCTCCATCCTCCCATGCCTCAGCCCAAATTGAACACTAATCAACTTTCTACATCTATAGGTTTACCTCTTCTGTACATTTAATGTAAATGAAATTACATATATATAATTATATATAATTTATATATAAATAGCATTTTTAATCTTTTTTCATTTAGCTTAATGTTTCCATGGTTCTTCCTAGTTGTAGCATGTATCAGCATTTCATTCATTTTTATTGCCAAATTATATTCCATTATATGGATATGTGACCTTTCTTTATACATTTATCAACTGACAGATATTTGAATCATTTGTACCTTCATCTCTTGTCAGTAGTGCTGCTATAATCATTTATGTATAAGTTTCTCTGTAACTTCCCTAGGTTTTTTCCCACTTTTTTTAAAAAAAACTTGTATTATAAAATCTTTTGTGATTTTTAGATTTACTATAAACTCTACCAGCTTTGCTATTATGGAAGTAAGACTCTTCTTTAGGCTCTTCTTGACAGGAATTGCTATCACAATGAAACTTTCCCTTTATCATTTATGGTAACAATTATTATAGCATTGTGGTCAACATTCTGAATTTCCAAATCAATACCATTCTGTCTCAGTATTTGTATTCATTTAGGTTGTGATTGAATACTAAGCTATATCTCTTGTGGTCTGTCTTCCCACCATTTTCAGATTCCTAAGCACATTTACCAAAGGAAAATGGAAAAGACAGAAAGAACACACTAAAGAATATGTAACAGCCCTGGTAAAAGACATAAGAGAAGGTTAGGATTTCATTGAGAGGTTTAACTTTTTACCACATTTTCCCCCCAGTGGTCACTATGTTTAATGAAGGTTGCAAGAATGTCTTGGAAGCAGCTTAATTTGCTGTTTACAAATTTAAAAGCATGAATAATTCATCTATCCTTACAGTTTACCCAGCATTTTCATGGACTTAGGATCCTATAGCAGTGAATTTTCAAGATAACTAAAGCTCACTCTAATACTTCATAAGTAAATTTTAAGAGTTCAGAATAAACAACCTTCTAATATTTATTGTGTACTCATTAGATAGATTTGGAATGTTGAATTTGATCCCTTAATTAATCAGTTATTTCTTTCAAGCCAGTATTTATTAAAGCTAACTTACATGCCAGATACAGGGGTAGGCCTGGAGATAATGTGAGAGTAGGGGAGAAGCATGACCCCTTACCCTTGTGTGGACAGTTGTCCAGGGCTAGGTCAGCAGGTAGATACAATACTGTCCTAAGTGGCTGGTGTGGTAACTGAAAATAGTGAAGGGAACACACAGGACAAGCACCAGCCCAGATGTGGGGGATCAGGGAAGATTACTAAAGAAAAGGATTTCTAGGCCAAGAGTTCAGGGGCTACTGATAGAGTATAAATGGATGACAGGATTGATGGAGTCTTTGGGGTCCCTGTACTCTGAACAGGGAGTGTTAGCATAGAAAAGAGAGAGGGAGCTCTCAAACCCCTTTCTATCCTTGAAGTATTATGTTTAACACATTTTTTTTTTTCTGTAACTATTGACTTATCTTTGTCTCTCCTCCCATGGAGTATTCCTTGAGGAAAAGAAACTTATCCCTTATCTGTTGCTGTTGTTGCTGTTCCTGGCCACTTAGCCAGAAACAAACTAGACATCTCTTCCTACTTCAAAGTGCCTGCTCCATTTTTAGGCTATGCAATAAGTTCCTGTTTCCTGTTTGAGAACATCTTCAGCTCTCGGCTCAGAGCACAGATGACGAACATGTCCTGAGTGTACTGAATGGGTAACCAGCTCATGTTACCAATCCTGCTGCCCTCCTCTTGGTTTCTTTGATGATTCATCAGTTAGAAACTCCCCAGGCAATAGTGGCACATCCCCCCTTCCCACCCCAGATCTTTTTTATTTACATTCTTATTTTAAGCATTAGAAAAAAATTAAACATGTACTCTCTAACCAAAGACGAATGATCGAGGACCTCTATCACAAACCTGTTCAGGCTATTCCAAGGTGCCCTAAAAACCTTTCCTTTTAAACTATAGTTACTAACTAGATCCTCTTTTAAATGAATTTATCTCTGTTAAAATGAATTTATTCTTACCAAAATATAATATGTTTCTTTATCCTCAATGCTGTTATTTCCTCGTTGGGATTTTATTATAAACATAGTCCTTCTCAGGACTTTCTCTGTAGTATATTTTATGCTGCCGTTTCATTTGTCATTGTTCCTTTATGTTTCCAACAAAATCATTGTCATTTAAGCTTCCTATGCTCTCTTTTTTCTTTTTCAATTAACCTTTAAGCTTTCCGAAGACACAAACTGCACCTCATGTTTTTTGTCCCCTGTCCACTCTTATTACTAGTGCTAGGCACATCCTGAGAGTTTGGTGAGTCCTCGCTTAATGGACTGTCGCCAGTGTATGTTTTTGTAACCTATCTTTCTTTAGTATCAGATACTATTTTCGCTATTGTCAATGCTTCTACCTTTAGTGTTACATGGACCTTTTTACTTCTAATTTGCCTCTTTCTAATATTTAGTGTGATCTTGGGTAATCACCTTGCTAAAACATAATATTTTTAAATAGGCATCCATAAATATATAGGATCTGAGGCCTAGGAGAGATATAGACAGGTTTTATAGCTCTAACTTTCAGATTCAACTATCACTGGATACTTTAATAACCATTCTGATTATCATAAAAACAGGGTTTACTAAAAATTAATAATGGCTATATTTAAATATTTATTACCAAAATAATGGTGAGCATGTAATTTTATATACAATGACAAAAAGCAAAGGTCTTCATTTTTTCAGCCTGAGCCTCATGGAATGTGCAAACTTTGGATGATTATGGACACCATTTTGGTGGTTTGGAAACTCAAGTTTGTTTTTTCAGCCCTGGTCAACCAAGTCTTGGAAGATTTATTCACCCAAACCAAACATACAAGAGATTAACCAAGAATGCTAATTTGTTAATTTACCCACAGATAAAATATCCTGGCCTAGTAAACCAGCATACTCATGTCAGCTAATTGGTGTCTCTTCCCAGGGGAAAAGTTTACTTAGTAAGGATTAGGGCAGAGTTAAGGTAAATCAGTTATTTTAAGATGTCATCAAACTGTGATAGCCTGATATATTGCATCCTCTAGGTGACCGTAATTATTTTACTTAGAAACTATCAATAGTAGCCTGATGCAATAAAGTTTCTTGTTTGTGCAAGAGTCCAAAGAAGGTATTTCTGACTTGCCATCTCTCTTGGGTGGCTCTCCATCAAATAACAATCCTGTTTTCTTCCTTCTTCTGATCCATCCCCTCTTGGATGTTAGAATTCCTTGCTAGATCTTTTGTATCTGGGCAGAAACAGAGGAAGTTAATTTAGAGACTAGGCCTAGAAGTGCATCTATTGCTTCTGCCCACATATTATGACCAGTTCTCAATGTGTGCTTCTACCTAACTGCAAGGAGGCTAAGACGTACAATTTAGCTCTGTACCCAGGAGGAAAAGGGAACAGTGTGGTGAGCCACTAACAAGTCCCTGCCATATACACTGTTCTCTATAGGACCAGAACTGTCAACAAGCCTGGAACACCTGTGCCATCTCAGTTGGGCCCCTTCCCTGGGCAGACACTGGCAGATCTTCACTAAGACTCTTTTGCAATTTTTCTTCCCAGTTGCCAGAATCATCACCACTGACAATCCTTCCCCATGACAGGAAGATTGGCATTTTCTCAGACTCCTGCTTGTTTCATATTAAAACTACACCTTTCTTTCTAGGAAGATTGTAATAAACTATTTGTGAGATTTGGGAGAGACCCTATAATTATTGCTGATATAATCATTAATACTTTCTTGATTGGGCATTTTGTTGTAAACATTATCCAATTTGACAATGGACCATGTTACCTTTAGTTTCAGAGATTGAAATGTTCTTCCTTGACCCCACAAACGGACAATGCATTCCTGTTGGAAATTTTTAGCTCTTTAAGTTTATTTTGTGTATCATGAGTCAAAAAGTACTGCTCTTGAGTCTTTCGTTTTACTAGTAAGTGATGCACAAAATTTAAAAAGATGTAAATTCTGTCATTACATGCTAAAATTTAATCTGCTCAAAGAAATAGTGCAATACAGCCTTTATAAAGAAAAACATTTCATTCTTTAGGAATATCAGGTTATTGCAAGCTGTCTTCTTGTCTAAAATTTGTTATAATTATTTATAAAAAATAGTAACATTAAAGAATGATTGTATATGCTCTTTTGGAAAAGGTAATTATCAGTCTCCATAAAAAACAACAACACTGCTCTTAATAGTCAGAAAAAAAAACTAATAAAAAGTAAATGGAGAAACAAAAAAAGAAACACACCCGTACTTCTCTGTGTCACCAGGAATAGGCTCAATATTTTAGTCCTACTTACTTCATTATGTAACTAAACCGCCAGACAGTATTTTGCTGCTGACAACTGTTCTGAAAGTAGCATGAACTTGGAAAGTCCTTAACTACTAACTTCCTGGATCTCAGCTTCCTCATCTATAAAGTGAGAAAAATCACAGTGACTCTAGACAGGCTTAACTGGAGACATATAAAGCACACTAAAATACTGCAGTATTTAGATGGATTGCCAGGAACTTCTCAATGTTATTTATATTTGCTTTGCTATTTATAGAACTGGCAGCCTATCCCCTTTCATAATAATGGAGATAGCTACCATCTGTTGGACACATAACTATGTGTCCAACGCTTTACCTATGTTATCTTATTTAATCTTTGCAACAGGCCTGGGGGATTTTTATCCCTGTTTTACTCCTATTGAATGGGGACACAGGAGTCAAGTGATCTGGCCAAAGTGACAGGGCTACTAAGCCACAGAGAAAAGACTTCATCCTAAGTCTTTCGGACTCCAAAGTTCATATTCTTTCTTCTGTAACATATGGCTTTCTGCTTAGCAAGAGACTCTCCTCCTGATACAAACATTCAGAGTATAAGGTTGCCAAAAGATTAGCTTCCTTTCAACAACTTGTCCATGGGAGAATGACAAAGAAAGATTAATACTACATGAGTGAGGTAAGGGTTTATAATTTGTCAAGTACCTACTCTGAAAGTTCCTAAAGAAACGTATTGTCTTGTTGAAGAGCTTGCTCATATATTATGAAAAACTACTGTGTCCTGGATACATTCCAGACCTTGCAAACACTTCCAAAAGTTCAATCATCTTTCCTCCCAAACTGACTTACCTTTCTCTGTTCTCTAATGGCAACATCATTATTCATCCAATCATGCAAGCCCTTTTCCCTTCCTCCAACTGTCCACATCAGGTCAGAAGAAGGATTGTGTTGGTCTTACCTGTAATCACCTCCTGTTTTCATCGTCTCTGCCTCATCCTTTCTTGCCCTTCATTATAACAATGGATTCTAAATGAGTCTTCTTTTCTCTAGAAGGTCCTCCAAAATATCTCCCATAAAATGACCTTTCTAGAAAACAGACTTGAGCATGTTATTTTCCTGCTTAAAAACCTTCCTTATCTTTCCATCTCTCAGAAGGTGAATTCTCCATGCATGATCTTCATTGCCAGCTTCATCTTCTGTTTTCCAGTATTTTCTCCATTGTCATTACACTCAACTAGTTGAAATTCCTCAAATATACTAAGCATCCTCACGTCATTATTTAAATTGGATATTGTCCATGCAAACAAAAAGCATAGGAATTGGAAAGTTATGCTAACAAATATTGGTCATGTCAGAACATAGCTATGATTTTAAGTGTATATGCTTAATTTAAAACATAAGTCTCTATTGCTTTAGTATTGGGCTTCACAGCCCATTTTATTTCTCTAACTTTGTAGTGACTTCACTCTAAATATGGGGAAGATATTGAGAATGAGATGTGACTTCCTTTACCCTCTGTAAATATTGGATGTAACTTTAGAAAGTTAATTTGATGAATCCAATGATGAAAAAATGTTGTTATAATCATAATAAGGAGGTAAAAGATCTTACCAAGATAAACAAAATTAAAAGAAAAATTATGACAAGTATTAAAAAATCAAGAATGTTCCATTTGGATTCTAATTCATTTGCAGGTCTTCTTGACACTTTAAAAGCTTTACCAAGGCTAGGGATGTAGTTCACTGGTAGAGCACTTGCCCAGAGAACATAGGCCTTGGTTTCAATGCCCAGCACTGCAAAGAAAGGAGAAAAAAATAAAAAGGAGGACTACTGATTCTCAAATCATTTTTCTTAGCAATAGCCATTTTCATCAGTTTCAATGGTTGGTTTCAAATGTTTACATTTTTATCCTCTCCCCAGGCAGCCACAATAAACACTTTTCATGTAATGAATCCATTGTGACTTGGAATATATGGACTATCCCAGAAGGCATAGGCTTCTCTGTCTTTAGGCGTTGTTTTATTTTATTAAAGGATTGGCCAGCATAGAATTATTTCATTCATTTGGCAAGCTTCTGCCAGTAAGAAATGTAAGTCACAAACAACAGGACACTTATTGACATTACTTATTTCTTTTTCAGCTTATTCACCCCAGTGACATTCTAAAGTTAGGCAACTAAATAAGAATTAGGCTTTGGGGCTTTGGATCCAAATCAAAACTTGACTCCTTGAGCTAATATTTCTTTTATTTTCTTTTCTTTCTGCCCTCTGGGTCTAATTTCTCTGGGTTTACAGTATATGCAAACATGTTTCTCATTAGTGTTTATTTACTACCATAGGAATCAGTTTGAACCCTTATGATCCTAGTGGAAATACTTTTCTCAAAATAAATCCAGATCATATTGGGTTTTATCGTGTAAATTATGAAAAACTAACTTGGGACCGGATCACTGAGGAGCTTCTCTTAAACCACTCGGTAAGAGACAGCAATGGTTATGAATTGTTTTATTTTTATTCTAAGAATAGCATTTTAATGAATGATATTAATTTTTCTCAACACATTTTCATTTAACTATGTTTCTTTTTTTTACTTCTTTTTTTTCCCTCATTTTTCCCAGCAATTTTCTTCGGCTGACCGTGCAAGTTTTATTGATGATGCTTTTGCCTTGGCAAGGTAGGTTTTATAATGAGATCGGATCATTTAAGATATTGTGGGTTTTCCCATAAATATTTGCTTAAATGAATTACAACATTTAAGTATTAATCAATTTTAGTTTAAAATAGTCAAGCCAACATTTTAAACATCATTGTTTTTATTGGCCCTCTTTTTAAAAAAGTTTATGTGTTCCTCATAACCAAACTGCTGATATTAGCCTGTCACTTATACACAAAAACCCACACACCCTATTGACTTTGAGTATGGGTTGTTCTGGATCCGAGGCCTTGGGCTAATTAGGAGTGATATTTGCAAAGGCTCAAAAGTGTACCTTCACAATTTGATTTAATAAAAAGGTAACCAATGTGTTTTATTAATTTGGTTTCATGACCCCAAGCTCATTGTAAAACTTGCCTAGAATTGTCAAATCTTGTTCAGGTCATTGAGCCATGGTGTGCCACGATTTATCAGAATTAAGATTCCATTTAAGAAATTTGTCTCTATTTTTTATTTCTCATGATCTGAAGGTAATCTGCATGTAGAAAAATACAATCAACACAAATTAAGGGAAGAGAGGATTCTTAACCATGGTAACTCTAAATTTTTTTCAGATAGTTGAACACTAGTTGGTTGTTCAACAAGTATTTATTAAGTTCCCAATACTTTGCAGAAGTTGGAGACACAGCCCATTTTATTTCTCTAACTTTGCAGTGACTTCACTCTAAATATGGGGAAGATATTGAGAATGAGATGTGACTTCCTTATGTAGCCTCCCATGGCTCCTTTGTCTGGGTTGGGTGTTCCTCTTTTGGGTACCTTCTTCTCCCACAGTATTAAATCAACATTATTTATTAGTTGTCCATTTCACCCATGAAATAAAAGTTTCATGAGGGTAGGCACCCAAACCCAGCTCATGGCTGCATGTGGCTGTTAAAGTTGATGCTCAATAAATATTGCCTACAGGGATGGCTGGTATAGATGGCTGGCAGGATCTATAACAGCAGCAAAAGGCAGAGGAGAAGTATTTTTTACATGGACTTCCTGAACAGCATATTAGAAGTCAGAAAACCTTGGCATTTTTCAAGGAAGAAATAATCGGTTAAAAAGCAGGCTTTTGAACTTGATTAAAATCCTGATTTCATGTAAACTTAAGTCTTCTAACCTCTCTCTGGTTCAATTTCCTTATTAGTAAAATGGAGATGAACTTATAAGGCTATTGTGAGGAATAAATGAGATAGACATAAATCACCCATCATATGACTTTTCTGGCAGAAAGTGCTCAGTAAATTGTATTACTTGACCAAAATGCATAAACTATTGATTATTAGCAGCAAAGATAAGATACATTTAGAAAAGTGATTCTGAATTTGTAGTCTTTATAGGTGGTGTAGAATATGATGCTCTTTAGTGAATTCTCAAGTTTAATCTGCCAGATATGTAACAGATTAATTTTTTCATTTCATTACAATATGCGATTTGCTCATTTAATGAATATGCATTGAGTACCTACTAGGTATAAAGCACTGTGTACACCCTGGGAGACTAAGTAGTAAAAGAAGATGACTGATAAGGATTTTTAAACATAACAGAATTATTTAGAATTTTTTGTTTTCTGGAAAACTCTCCAGATGCACTGTGTACCATGACCTTTTCCCAAACTTAGCCTCTGTTAGAATTACAATGAATTGCAGTATCTTTATCATTTAATTCCCATCACAACACAATGCAGATTGCTCTTTTTGTTCTGAGATGAAGGGAACAGCTCTTGAATACTTCTCTCAGGAACTGGATATAAAGCAAATAGCTCAAACTATAGAAAAGACCTTTTTTGCATTTCTCAGCTCCTTAGCCATGACCTCATAAAATTTTTAAGAAATTTGGGAAGGAAGAAAGTGAAACTAATTTAAAAAGCAAACCATATGTAGAATCACACCACCGCAGAGCTGGAAATACCTGAGTTAACACCTGGCCCAGTTTCCTTCTACAACATATGAAGAGAACTCGATTAAGAGAGGAGCAGACTCCACCAAGGCTGGTGACAGCTGTGTCCTTTCCACTCGGAAACTTTAGGAGGGAAGAAATGTGCAATTAAGCAGATAAGTACCTGTGGAAGGATTAGAGTTTACACAGGTCTATTGAGGTGTTAAAAAAATTAACTTTATGTTTAATAATCAGGCTGGGCACAGTGGGGTACCCACCTGTAATCCCAGCAATTTTGGAAGCTAATGTAGGAGGATCAAAAATTCCAGGCTAGCCTCAGCAAATTAGTGAGATCCTATTTCAAAATAAAAAAACAAAAGGGCTGGGGATGTAGCTCAGTGGTAGAATGCCCCTAAGTTCAATCCTGAAAGAAAGGAAGGAGAAAGGAGGGGAGGAGGGAAGGAAAGAATATAGGAGGGAAGGAAGTAAGGGGGAAGGGGGAAAAGAAAGAAAATTCTCAACCAAGTCTGACCTTCAAATCTAGTTTTTTTTTTATTGACTTAACAAATGTGGTTTGAAACCCAACATTGAGTAAGACTGTTTTCTGGTGTTGAGTTCCATAGAAGGAGAGACTGAAGTGGAGGTTCTTTTACAAATCATGAGATTTGGGGTAGGAGGGCAGGAAAAGGGTAGGAGGAAAATGGGGCCCAAGATGTCCTCTCATCTGAAGTCTGGCTTTGCCAGATTCTAGCAGGAAGCTATGAATTGTAGGGGAGCAAGTTCAACTTGAGGGAAGCTGTTTGGCCTTTTGTATTTCTGAATTGACAACCCTTGGAAATGGGTGGCTGTTGCACAATTTCTTTGGCAAGATGGATGTGTTTGGCCAAGGGCTATTTTCTGGAGAAGGCAGAGCCAGGAACCCACAGATCACCATGAAGGAATCTGGCGCAGGCCCTCCGAATGTGTTTGTCTTTCTTTCTTTCTTTTTTGGTATCAGGGATTGAACCCAGGAGTGCTTAACCACTGAGCCCATCTCCAGCCCTTTTTATTTTTTATTTTGGGACGGGGTCTTGCTAAATTGCTTAGGACCTCCCTAAATTGCTCAGACTGGCTTTGAACTTGAGATCCTCCTGCCTCAGCCTCCCGGGCAGCTGGGATTACAGGCATGCTCCACCATGCCTGTCTTTGTCTTAAAAACCATTTTTAGAGTAGAGCAAGCAGATTGGGGGAGGGAGGAGAGGAGGGAAAGGGAAAGCACTGTGGAATGAGATTGATCAAATTATGTATATGTACAAATATGGCATAATGAATCCCACAATTATGTATAATTATAATGCACCAATTAAAATTTAAAAAAAAAAACTTCTTAGCACTTGTTCCCAATAAGCCATATCAGCATTGTCTGGGAACTTAGGAGAAATGCAAATTCTTGGGCCCTACCCAAAAACTACTGAATCAGAAACTCTGGGAGTGGGGCCAAACAGTTATGTATTTAATAAGCCTTCCAGGTGTTGCTAGTGTGTGCTTAAATTTGAGAATTCTGGCTCTAAATAATACTGCTCTTCTGATTCAGTAAATGGAAACTTCAAAGTAAGGTGCTTTGAGGAAAATGAAAAGTTGGTTGTCAATTCAGAAATACAAAAGACCAACCAGCTGGACTTCCCTTAAGCTGGACTCACTCCCCTACAATTCAATGTTTCCTAGTGGAATCTGACAAAGCTTAACTTCAATTAATACTTTTAAATATATATACATACATACATATATATGTATGTATATATATTTAGTTGCAGATGAACACAATACCTTTATTTTATTTATTTATTTTTATGTGGTGCTGAGGATCAAACCCAGTACCTTACATGTGCTAGGCAAGCGCTGTACCACTGAGCCACAATCATAGCATTCCATGAATACTTTAATTCTTTAAGTATTATCCATGTAATTATTATCAACCAGCAACAATTCACTCCCTGTCCAGTGTTCTGGTTCTGTGACTCAGACATCAAGAAAATCAGCAATACCAGAGTAGAACCACTGCATATCAAGTGTACTGGGAAAAAAAATAATAGACTAGGATATTAATTTTTCAAAGAACGTGAATATATCGTATTTAGATCCTTGGTTTTCCTCCTTCTTCCCAGTTAGACAATTCTCTTGGCTTTTGTAACCAAGGCCCATTCCTCTGAATCTTTTCACTTTCTAGAAATGTGTGGCCCACTTGGTTTCTGACCAGAGTCTATTATTCTTCCTAATTTTTTCTTAACCACTTCACTAATTTGATCCTCAGAGTGACAATGATTCTTTAGAAGTTTCCCAAGAAAATATTGATTAGGCCTAGATGTTGCTCTACCCAGTTGAGAAAGTATAGAATCACTAACATTAGAAAACTCTCAAGTCATAAATGTCAACACAAAATTCTATAATTTTTTAGTTAATAAACATTCTTTATAATAAGCTACTCCATTTCTCAAAATTCTTTATGCTTTTGTTAAGGGAGGCTGAATGCTCTTGAATAGAAATCCTTCTAGATCAGAGCAGGAACTGAGAACATATGAAGAAGAATTGGATCTTTGAACTGAAAACAAACTATACTCCTATCTTTCCAATACTCATACATTCTCTAAGCAAACTCTTAAGGGAGGAATCAATACATAATTACACTATTGTTTATTTTTAAAATGATCTCAAACATAATAGCACTCAATGCATCAATATTCCTAAATTCAATAATTTTAAAAAATCATCCTTTAGTTTAAACTTTCCAAATGTGATTTGGAAAGACAGAATTTCCATCTAACGTTCTTTTGGAAATCTAGGCTAAGATTAAAAGGTGTAACAAGTCCTGAGAATGTTGATTTCAAAAGGTTCTAAGATGTCTTAGAGGAGAGGAGAAGTTAGATTCTTTAAACTTTGAAATGTCAATAGTACCTTCAAATTTTTTGGAAGATAAAAGTCCATTTTTATTTATGAAGATTACTGGGAAATGTATAAGAAAAGAGATGTTACAACTGGAAATATAAGCTCAGTTTTAATGCTTTGTTTAAAGCATCCATGATTCGTACTACCCTTCATGTTTCTTCTTCATATTAAATGTAAATAATTTCAATAAAATACACTTATAATGAAGTCTTTATGTATTCTAATCAGTTTGTGAACTTAAAATTTAAAAGCTTTTATTCATCATTATTAACCACATATCAAAATGGCTTTGGTTTCATCTGAATTTTTGCCATAGTAACTTTTTTAAAATGTACATCTTAATGTTATGTTTTCTTCATTCTATTATCGCACTCATATATCATTTTGAACAAAAACCTTTGGATTGGTCCTCAATAGTAAGTGCAATTTCTTAATTGATTAATAAAAGAATTCTCATTAATATGGAGTACTGGGGATCCCCCATATGTTGGTACTTTTAGCCAAATATAAACTAAAATCTGTTTTCTAATTAGTTATGTATGTGTGCATGTTTTGTTTCGTTTTGTTTTTTTAAGAGCTCAACTGCTGGGTTATGATGTGGCTCTGAACTTGACCCGGTATCTCAAAATGGAAGAGAACTTTTTACCATGGCAGAGAGCCATTTCAGCTGTAACTTACATCATTAGCATGTTTGAAGATGATAAAGAGCTATACCCCATGATTGAGGTGATGTTGCTGCTATAATAAAAATATAAACGTTTAGTCATTAGTAAAATAGGATGGTTTCTGAGGGAAGAAGCCCCTAGGGGACATATCATCGATACCTCACAAGTGAAAACACAACAAAGTGCAATCTTGACTACTCAACTTAAGGAGATGCTATCTATTCTTTTTCAATTTGAAGCATATCAGTATGTGTAGTTTTGTATATTGCATAAGGTATAAATCTGAGTATTAGAATAAATACAATAATAAATATTTTATTTAAAATTTATAATATTTTAAACTGTAAATACTAACTGGATCTTACCTTAAATAGATTTATCTCTGTTAAAATGAATATTCTTCCCCAAATATAATATTTCCTTATTCTTGAGGCTGTTATTTCCACATCAGGATTTGTTGTAAAATAGTCATTCCAAATTGCTTTGTTATGTCTATGGCACTTTGGTAGTTCACTTGTAATTTTAAACCAAATCTGGATTTGAATTTCTAGCTCTTTCACTTACTAAATGAAAGACGTTGGGCAATTAATTTAATATTTGTAAATCTTAGCTTCCTTTTGAACAATAGGAACATCAACACTCATTTGCCTTTGTGAGGATCAAATTATATGAAAGTTCTCTGTAAATCCTAAATATCAGTTATTTTTATTATTTCATCAATACTTGAACAACTTTCTTAATGCTAGAACTGTGTCAGGTGTTTTCTACTTGTTTCATATAATAACTAAGAAATGGAGGTTAAAAAGGGATTATTCAGCCAGGTGTAGTAGTGCATACCTGTAATACCAGCAACTTGGGAGTCTGAGGCAAGAGGATCACAAGTTTGAGGTCATCTGGGCAACTTAGCAAGACTCTGTCTCAAAATAAAAAAATAAAATAAAAAAGAGCTGGAGAAGTAGCTCAATTGTAAATGACCTCTGGGTTAAATTTCCAGTACCAAACAAAAGAAAACACCTGGGCATGGTGGCACACACCTGTAATCATAGTAACTTGGGAGGCTAAGGCAAAAGGGTCACAAGTTCAAGGCTGACCTAAGCAATTTAGTGAGGCCTTAAGCAACTTAGCAAGAACCTGTCTTAAAACAAAAAATAAAAAGCACTGGAGATGTTGCTCAGTGGTTAAGCACCTCTGGGTTCAATTCCTCGTCCAAAAAAAAAAAAAAAGGCTTACCCAAAGTTTTGTAAAACATTAGAGAAAGATATCCAAGGTGGTTTATGTCCCCATGATTGAAGCAAAATTGTAATGTGATAAAAAAAAAAAAAACTGAACACATTCCTTTCCTAAAGTCAGGCCCAGAGTTTTCAAAACTAATAGGAAAATTCTTACAACAAGGGACTGCAGATTACAATAAATGGGAGACTGTTGATAGGTAGCAAATTATTACTCATGGTAATAACCTGATGTTTTTTATTTCAGAAATACTTCCAAGATCAAGTGAAGCCCATTGCAGATTCTCTGGGATGGGATGATACTGGCGACCACCTCACAAAGTAATTTTTCACCTTTTAAAAATTAATCTTCATTTAGTATTTATTTGTGTGTTTTAAGACATGTTGAGAAGTGCTTAAACCCTGGCTTTGTGTTTGCCTGTGTTCTAAGGTTACTCCGTGCCTCTGTGTTAGGGTTTGCCTGCAAGATGGGAGAACCAGAAGCCTTGAAGAATGCTTCCCAGTTATTTGAGGACTGGATAAGGACAGGCAAGAGGTGACTATTCACCTTGTTTTTATTTCTAGAAGACTTTAAACTGAGAAATGAGCCACTGACATCTCTGAAACTTTGCTTCCTTGTCTAGCATTCCTGTAAATCTCCGGCTTTTGGGTTATCGGTATGGAATGCAGAACTCTGGAAATGAAGCTTCATGGAACTATACTCTAGAGCAATACCAGAAAACTTCATTAGCTCAAGAAAAAGAAAAACTGCTCTATGGATTAGCATCAGTGAAAAATGTTACTCTTTTGGCAAGGTAAGTGTCTTTTTTTTTTTTTTTTAAGGGTTTGGTGTTTGTGGCACTAAGGATCAAACCCAGGACCTTACATATTCCGGGAAAGTGCTCAACCACTGAGGAAAAACCCCTAGTCCAAGTTGGAATTTCATTTCATTTATATATATTTATATATGGTATTAATAGTTTATATGTCACAATCTTTTAAGACTGATTAAGAAAGCATTATGTCTTTTTCCCAAAAAAAATCCATTAAAAATATTTTTCATGTAAGAAACAAAATATCCATCTTGTGATTGAGCAAAAGAATAAAGAAATGTAGTCCCATATGAAAATGTTCTGGAGGTAGGTTTCCTGTGGGGTGCAGTGATATTTTTATCCAGAACCCAGGCTCCTGTTCTGCCATGCTCAAGGTGTGGGATGTCTTGTGACTTCCAAAGCTCCAAACATGTTGTCATAACCAAAGATGTCCAGTAGAGGAAGAAAGGAGTGAAAGAACTTATCTTCACAAGGTTCTGTCTTTATAATTTAGAGAACAGTTGTGTTCACCTCCCCTTATAATCCAGAACAGACTGAGATGCAATCAATGTGGGTCACACTCCCTGTCTATCATTTGATCATTTGCTGAATAGGATGGACTTGAATTGATTTGGGCCAATCATAAATCTTTGGGGTTATGGTAATGATCTGCCTTCCCTAGGAACCAAAGATATCTAAAGATTCCCAAACTAGGCTCTATCATCAGAGAAAGAGGAGTTCTGCAACAGTGTGTACCCACATGTGTATATACACATGCATGAACACACATACACACACACACACACACACACATTTACATTGTACCCAGAAGGTACAAAGACTGCTTGAAGCCCATCTATGAATCTTTTCTCACTCTTTACCTGTGCCCCAAATTGACTGGCTTGTGCCTTAATTCATTTTTTTTTTCTCATTTGTGGTATGAGTTACTTATCATTCATTTTACCACCATTTGTAGTGCCCCTTCTATGTAGGTCTAGACATGTAGATTATGGAAATAAAAGTAAATAAAACATAATGTCTATCCTTCAGCAACTCACAGCTTCTTGGGATAGGCAGAATGTAAACAGTAAACTACAGAACAATACAGTTTGAAAAGACTACAAGAGAGGTTTGCTTTTGCCTAGCAGGGTCAGCAATATGCCTCCATTACCTTAAATATAACGCTCTGCTATAAGGTAGCCCATTAGGAACCTGGTCATTTTAACATCACAGGTACCCCAATAATATGTACAATTTTGTGTTTTTAATGTATCAGTTAAAATTTAATTTAGATTTAAAAAGAAATTGATCATCCTAACATCCCTCAAAACATTATACTTGTCATGACTTTCATAGCATTGTGCTGATTATATCTACTAAGGATATATTAGAAAGTACTTTAGATGCTGTAGTAAGACTCTTGTGGGCCAAGTGGTAGAGGATAAATTGTGCAAAACTTTAAGAGCCCAGCACTTCAGTGCAGTTCCAGGAAGTTCAATGGTTCCGTGCATGTTGAGATATCCCTTTTAAGGTAAAAGACAAGTTGCCACACCTTGTACTACCTTAAAAAAAAAAAAAAAGAGAGATCATTTTAGTGGACTTAGTAAGCCGCTTTTATTTTATTTTTTTAAGTGGTGCTGGGGATCAAATCCTGGTCCTTGTGCATGCTGGACAAGTTCTCTATATCACTGAGCTACAATGCCAGCCCAGTAAACTTTTTTTTTTTTTTAATTGAGACAATGGGAGGGGGAGGGGGGAGGCTGGGGATGTGACTCAGTGGTAGAGCACTGCCCAGCATGCATGAGGCACTGGTATCAATCCTCAGCACCACATAAAAATGAAATAAAGATATTGTGTGTCCACCTACAACTAAAAACTAAATATAAAAAAAAAAATCAAGGCATTTGTCCTACATTTGAGTGTGTCACTTCAACCACCTACAAAGTCTTTCAGTTTTTAAGGATGACAGAACAAAAGAAGGCTCTCTGAAAAATCCAGGCTATAGTAAAAGCTTTCCTAGAATTCCTTTCTTATCTGACACATATGATAAATATGCTGTATTTCATGAGTACAGGTTTACCTCCTGCAAGTACAAAAAAGGGTAGTATCTTTATTTGCTCTCTGATTATTTCCAAAAGTTTGTACACTGTTGAGTGATGAGCCAGTAAGATGGGGAACAGCTGATACTAATTTTGTCTGCCAGTCTAGTTTTTAAATCATTTGTTAAGCTACAATTCTAATTTAAATGGTCTCTTGGAACAAATGTCCAGTCTTCTCAAGTTCCTTTTCTTCCACATGTTCCTCTTATACAGGGAGGCATAAGTCATCTTGTTGTGATGGAGAAAGAGAATTCTGGTTCTTCCTGGTTTTGCCCTAAGGTGTTGACCTATTTTGGTCATGGACCAGAGTCCGCTGGGTTTTTATAGATCATGTTTTACCTGCTTGGAACACTGTACATTTTCCAGACATTAAAGCTGTGTTCCTGGTCATTTTCTTCTGTTCATAAAGTACCTGTGCTGTGTGGCCTTTTTGTTTTCCCAGCAGCCCTTTGGGCAATCCTATATCTTATTATTAGACTGAAGAATCTCCTAAGTTCCCCTATACAGTTCACAAGTTAAGGGAACCAGGAGCATCACCTTACACCCATTAACATGTTCACCTCACTCTGCCTACATTCACTGACAGTCACCTATACCATAATGGACTTAGCACAAAGGTAGGTACTCAACTGCAGGCCCACCCTCAGAGGACTGGAGAGAGTGATGTTGTTCAGTTTCCCATGTGACTTGGACTTCCTTTAAAGGCTGAGTTTTCTCCAGTCTCAATTAGGGTACACATCTATGGTCAAGTATGTTGTTTCTTGACATGCTAATAAAAATGAAAGAAATGTAGAATTATCTTTTTTCTTTGACATATGCTGATTACTGAAACTTTCTCACAACTCAAATTGAACACTCAGCCCTTGGTTTAGCTATTATCTTTTATCTCCCTAAAGATGTGAATGAATCATGCCAATTGGTAAGAGGCTATGGAAACCCAACACTAGAAGAATATGAAAATTTTATCAGCAATAGATATCTATTTTTCAGATGTCATCATAGTGAATAAAATATGTGCTGATCTTCTTTGGAAACACTCTTCTAATACCAATATGCCCTTATGTAGAGCCTCAGGGAGAAATACAACTCTAGGTACAACCACTGCATAAATTTAATAAAAGTATACATTTGGTCATTTATGTTCATGTATTTGCATCATGTTATAACTAGAGCCAAATAATCTAATCATATAGATTACATTTGGAGATTTTTTCTTATAATCTAGGGAAAAGTAAACAAGTTTTGTGTTTTCCTACAGTGAATAAGAGCATAAACTATTAACCATTTTTTAAAAAGAGCATAAATATTTTATCTTCATTTACTAACTTCTTTTTTAAATTTAGTGGGATAACACATAAGTGAGTTAAGTGTTTATGTTCAACTCCATACATTTATTTTTTAAGGTTGATCATTAAAATACTATGTTTTTTTCTATTTTTAGTATTTATAAAACCATTTAAATTTTTGTGGGGGGAGGCACTAGGAATTGAACCTGGGGTGCTTTACCACTAAGCCATATCCTCAGTTCTTTCTCCCCCCCGTCCTCCTCTCACTCAGTTGTCTCAGTTGTTGAAGCTGGCCTTGAACTTACAATCCTCCTCTCTCAACCTCCCTAATTGCTAGAATTACAGGTGTGCACCACTACACCTGGCAATAATTTAATTTTTTAATGTTCCTATAGTTCATATTTCTCAAATTCTCAAAATCATGGGCTAATCTTTAAAAACAGTTAAAAATATTGAACCTTTTTAAATTGTGTTTCATCATTTATCATATTTAACTCACTACTGAATTGCAGGAACAAAAGTTATACTGTATTGGCATTTAGCTAACAGTGAACATTTTGAATTGTTTTTGTTTGACTTCTCTTAGGTATTTGGATTTGCTCAAGGACCCAAACCTTATTAAAACTCAGGATGTGTTTACAGTCATTCAATATATCTCCTATAATAGCTATGGGAAGAGCATGGCATGGAATTGGATACAGCTCAACTGGGAGTACCTAGTCAACAGGTATGATGGTCTAGGTTGTCTTTGTTTGATATTATTTACAAGTTCCTTCCTTTTTCTCTTTGGTGTACTTCTACTGACATCTATACAATATCTGAAATAACACATCCTCAGAGGTAAAGGAAAATGGTATTTACCTTCCAAGTAAGCAACATACTAATGAATTTTAACCACAATTTTTTTTCCTGGAAATTATTGTTTCCACACGATCTATACGATTCTGAGATCTGGAGAGATGGCTAAATTGCATTATTTATAGTTTGGGTAATATAATTCTTCTCATTGTGCCAGTTGCTAGGATAATGCTAGGCACATATTTAGGTCTCAATATTTGAAACTTAAACGAGAATTCCTGAACCTGGGCTCAATTTAGAACCTTGTATCTTATTGAGGTTATATGGGTGATAATGTATATCTCCTCTGACCAGATAATTACACTTGTATTCTATATAGTTCCTTAAAGAGTTCTGAATAGTTCTTCACATTTATTAGCAGGGTTTTGGGGAGGTGGTGGGAGTGGTGAAGGAAAGTTTGAGGATTTTTTGTTGTGGGAATTGAATCCAGGGCCTCAGGCTTGGAAAGCACGCATTCTATCACTAAACTACACCCCTAGCCTGACAACAGCAGTTCTAAAATGGGACAAGAGAAGAGCAAAATCAGTGAAAGAGACGCTTTTCCAAACTTCTTAAGAATTTCTTAAGCCCCATGCAGAAGAAATATTGCTATTCTTGGTTCTGATCCTCTAAATGCAATTTTCATGAAAAAAAAGCATTTTTTTAAAATGTAAAATAAATACATGCCTCAAATAAATGTGTAGCTGGGTGCAGTGGCGCCTACCTATAATCCTAACAGCTTGGGAGGCTGAGGCAGGAGGATCACGAATTCAAAGCCAGCCTCAGCAAAAGCAAAGCACTAAGCAACTCAGTAAGACCCCATCTCTAAATAAAATACGAAATAGGGCTGGGGATGTAGCTCAGTGGTTGAGTACCCCTGAGTTCAATCCCCAATACTAACAAAACAAAACAAAACAAATAAATGTGTAAAGATTGGTGCACATTTACCACCTGTAGTCCTCACCTTAGGAAACAGCTTCTGTTTTCCATTTCCATTCTCTCAAGTCATCCAGAGGCACCACCTACTTGGTAATGACTGCCATGTGAGAAATACCAACTACAACAATCCTGCTGTTTCTTTTCTCTTTTCTGTTCTACTCACTAGTGGCATTGTGGATATTTTATTTCTTTTCCTTCTGAGATCCACATTGTATCTCCAGCTCTCAACTAAGGTGTTTCACATTGCTTTTGCCTATTCATGACAAGATTTTTACCTTTTTTATTCTTGTGAGTAATGAGTGTAATTGTTCATCTGTCTCTAAAGATTGGCTGGTGAATGTATGTGCATGTACATGTGTGTGTTTGTGTTGCTCATGTGCATTGTTCATTTGTTTATAATTTTTTCAATGAAATATTTGGTTTAGAATGAATAAATCTACCTGTTAAGAACATGCTGTTGCCGGGCATGGTTGTGCAGGCCTGTAATCCTAACAGCTGGGGAGGTTTAGGCAGGAGGATCACATGTTCAAAATCAGCTTCAGCAACTTAGTTAGACCTTGTCCCAAAATAAAAAGGGTTGGAGATGTGACTCAGTGGTTAAGCAACCCTGGGTTCGATCCCTGGTACCAAAAAACAAAATAAACAAACAAACAAAAAACCATGTATGTTATAACATATGTTCATATCATGCAAGGTAACCTGTTCATTTTTTCTTTCAAAAATGAAATACCTAATGACACACACTGTGTATTTTGTTTTAGTTGAAATACTATGAAACTATTTTTATTTTTGCTTTGGTGTATGGTATAAGGAACCTATGTAAATAAAACACAGTATTTACTTTTGAATTATTGCGAAAAGACAAGTAAAGAATGTTTTATTTCACAAAATAAAATGGTCATTCCCTTACTATTTATTAAACATAGTATTTTTCACGGCTTATTTTAATAATTCTAGTTTAACTTATTTCAAATATTGCATTTTGCATTTAAAAAAATTGCTTAATTATTTCTTTTTTTAATATTTATTATTTAGTTATAGGTGGACACAATATCTTTATTTTATTTTTATGTGGTGCTGAGGATCAAACCCAGTACCTCAAGCATGCTACGCGAGGACACTACCTGCAAGCCACAACCCCAGCCCAGTTCATTATTTCTTAATTAAAAAATTAAGAAATAGAAAAAATAGGTTTTACCTGCCATAAAGGTCATAAACATCTAGCCTAGAATAAATGTATTAGACCTAATAAACTGAATTTTTTCCTAGGGAAAATAAATTAATAAACCATTTCCAGAACCCTTCTAAAACCCTTGCCCAAGGCTTTTAGTATTTCTTCACAATCTAATGATCTTTCATGAGGCATTATTTTAAATGGCCCCAAACATAAAATTGTATAATAACCACATGTCTGACAGTTACACAAAAAAGCAATATTAATTATGTTTGGTTTGAATAATAGAATTTCCCCATGCAAAATTATATGACAAATTAAGCAGAAATGAGCCAAATTTTTTTCCAAATGTGTTTTCAAAATTTTAAGATAAGTAGTTTTACTGCTTCTATTTCTGAACTACTTAGTGTCATTCTAAAATAATCTACATTTTAAAATACAGCTTTTGTCATGTGATTTCTATGACAACTAATCACCAGACCACTAATGTCCTTGCCAGTTGAGCCTTCACCACAAAGTCCCAAAGATACTTGGAAATTATTCTTTGTTTCTTCTACTAAACTCTTAGGTGAAACTGTGAAGTTGAAAGAACCCACTAAGTCAGTAGTATGGTATAATAAAGTCTGTTTTCAGTCTGTGGCAACAGATGAAAAATCAAGTCAATAATTTTGGCTTAAAGAACATAATCAAACATGACCGAAACTAAACACTATCTCATAGACAACATAATTTAATAAGAACTTAATTAAAAGTTCTGTGTGCATCAAAATAATTTCTTAGGGGTAACACAGTAATACTTACATAAATATTAAGCCCAAGAAGATAATTTTTATATAATTTTCTAATTATTTACAATATTATTAAATCCTTATTTTAGTTTAAAAAATAACCAATATGATAAATACCCAGCATATTTCCCCTGACTTTCTATTCTTGATATGATATTGGTTTCTTGGGATAAACATATTTGATTCTCTCATTTCTAGATTTACACAGGTATTTGTAATTTTTATTAACCTATTTATTGCTAGCTCTCAAATATTTTCTTTGATTGTTTAGTCACTAAGAACAAAACAGAAAGGTACTATGGAAATTGTAGGTCATCGACAAATTCTTATTACCTGCATTGTAGCAGACTTTGAATCTCATTTCAGGAACTCAGTTATGTCTTTCTTCTTAAAATCCCCTCTTATTAGAGAACTGATTTTTTTTTCTTTTTTTACAAAAGGTAGATAAGCATTCTTATCTTGTTCATAATGCCTTTTATGGTGCAATATAACCTAGAAATAATTTTGTTGTCATATTACTATTTTTCCTCTAGTCATTTTCTATGGTTATTTATTTATTTTATAGAAATGGAATTATACATGTGACTTTATAATTTGATTTTTTATACATATCACTCTATCTTGTAGATGTCTCTTCATGTCTTTAGGTTGGTTTTTGAATGTTGTTTTTAAGGACCCAATAGTATTTTAATATATTTTAGTTTACTTAGCCATCTTTTAGACAATGTCATTGTTCCCTGACTACTATAAATAATGTATTGTGAACAATACCTTTGAAACTGAGTTTAATTGTTCTTTTCAAATGTCCCTGACAATAACTTTGGGATACAGTTAATGCTAGAAGTATTACTACTGGGTTAAAGCATGTGTCCATTTCTAGAGTTTTTGATAAATATTGTAGAATCATGATACAGAAAAATTTCACTAACAATTGCCCATTTTTCCAACCCTTCCAATATTCAATATTGATATTTTTAAGTATTCTTGGTAACTGAATAAATAAGAACTAATATCTCATTTTAAACTATAAATCTTCCATCCAATAAGTCACGTGGAGCACCTTCCATGTGCTAAGCATTACGATTGGCATTGGGGATGGAACATTTAGGAGAAGCAAACCTCGTTCTCTGTCCTCATAGAGCTTAGAGTTTAGTAACAGACACCAATAATATGTGAAGAATCATACAAATGCATGTGTACTTAAAATTGTAACAACTACCAATAGAAGTAGTTCAGGGTGTGCCAATATAAAGGGGAAAATAGAATATCATCTCTACAATTCTGTTTTGGTACTTAGTTAACCAGCTTGTTATAGATCATGTAGATCTATACTACACTACTAAGAATTTCTCCTGAATAGAATTACTTTCAGTTTAATTTGTTTTTTTTTTTACTGTGTTTAATTTACTTTGAAAATTACTTTGAAAACATACAGATCATAACTTGCAAAATGCAAATAGCTATAGACCAAATAGACCAAGTGGAAAGAAGTTGGAAGAAAGGGCTTCCCTAAGGACATGATGGTTGAGCCGGAGGAAGTGCAGGAGTGAATTAGGCAGATGGGAAGTGAAGCATTTCTGGATGAAGACCTACCAGTAGAGAGAAGAGTAAAGACCAAGACTTGCAGAGTCATGTAAAAAGTTGGACTTGTGTTCTAAGCAAGGATGAGTCACTGAAGGTTTTTAAGTAAGAAAGTGAAATGATGAATTTTACTTTGAAAAGAAGCTCTGGTGGTAAGATGAAGGGTAGACCTAGATGGGGGCCAGAGTGGGATTTGGGAAAAGCCGTTAGCTGCTGTGATAGTCCCAGCAAAAGCCAGTGACAGATTGGACTATGGATGTAATGGTAACGATGAAGAGACAACAATAACATTTAGAACCTGGTGGTAGATTGGAAACGGAAGATGAAAGTGAGGGGACAAGGGTAATGCCTAGATATGAAAAGAAAAGTGTGTTTGTATGTTTCTCTGTGAAGCAGAGGCAAGGATATCTTTAGGAGGGAAGAAGCAGAGTTTAGAGGTTGGGAGAGTGAAAAATCTTTGAAAAAGGTAATGCAGAGAGAAAGTGAATGAGTTGGCTAGGGTAATGTAGAAGCATCATCAGTGTGAGAGTCCATTTAAGTTAAGTTTGAGGGCTGGGGATGTGGCTCAAGCAGTAGCGCACTCGCCCGGCATGCGTGCGACCGGGGTTTGATCCTCAGCACCACATACAAACAAAGATGTTGTGTCTGCCGAAATCTAAAGAATAAATGTTAAAAAAATTCTCTCTCTCTCTCCCTCTCCCTTTCCCTCTCTCTTTCACTCTCTCTTTAAAAAAAAAAAAAAGTTAAGTTTGAATTCATGAATTTATAATGAAACAATATAGGGAAAGTTCAGTGACTTTCCTTGACAGAACTTGACCACCTGATGGAAGCTCAGAGAAAATGGGTAGTTGATTTCACCTGAAGTTAGAGTTTTTCCAGACATGTTATTCAAATTCAAGGGAGTTGGGGGCATACAGCAAAAATGTTATTGAAAATGGTAGCTCATGGTATCTGAACTACCTAAAGAAATAAGTTGAAAATAAAGAAGATCTAATGGTCCAGGAGAAAGTAGGGGTGCAGATAGCCAAGGGGGCAGAAATCCAAGAATGGTCATAGTAGAAACTGAAAGGTAGATTATGTCATAGAAGGTGCATAAATTAATAACTTCAGGTGCAAATTACTTATGGATGATCATAAGGTATCATGGGAATTTGTTGATTGAAATAGAGTGGAGAATATATCATTGGAAATAAGGTCAGGAAACTAAGGAGCTAACATGGTAAAACCACCTCGATGATGGGATAGCCTGGAGCAGACTAGGAGCCAAGTGCCAAAGTGTATTGTATTTGAGAGGAAGTAACCAGAGGGAAGTCTTTAAAGGGAGTGAAGGAATAATGGTCTGGGAGCAGCTATGGGGAGCATGAGCACTCCATTCTCCAAACTGCTGCAACAAAGGATGGGGGAAAATAAGCAGGATCTCACTGACAAATAGTGTTTCCAGCCAAGGGACAGTTCCACATGGTTCCAGATGCTAGGCAGAAGGTTCAAGAGACACAGGCACATTTTGGATCATGACTGATGATGATATTAGGAATGAAATGTGTGATGGAATTAAATTCAGTGGTGTCTATGGTAAATAAGAGTGCACATTGGCCCTAACGTACAAAAGATCATGATTGAATACTAGACTATTTCAACTTTTTCCCAGGGGCAACTTTTCATTCCTTTGCGAATGTCACATTACCATATTTCACCATCTTACACTTTCTAAGTTTCTTTATATGATTAAAATATTTGTTCTATATCGTATCTGTTACATGATTTTTCCCTAGTTCATTTTTTACTTTTAAATTTGTTCATGGCAGATTCTTTTTTAAATTTATGTAAAACAAACTTTACCAGTTTTTGTCTTCATAGATTTTGCTTTTGCTAGGTGATAATTTTTAAAGATTAAAATTTCTCCTACTATTTTGTATGTTGATAAATTTTCCTGTATCCTTCCCAACATTCCAGTGCTCCAGCTTTATACAGAATGTTGTGGTTGTTTTCCTTGCACTGTAACTAATGGTGATATCTGTACCTGTGTCATACCTATTTATATGATGATCTGTAAGAAAATTTCTGCATCTTGCTCTTAACCAGAGACTATGCAAAAATGACAGGAATAGACTATCATCTCTATAATTCTGTTTTGGTACTTAGCTTAACCAGCTTGTTATAAATCATGTAGATTTATAATACATTACTAAGAATTTCTCTTGAATAGAATTATTTTTACTTTAATTTGTTTTCTTACTGTTTAACTTACTTTGAAACTTACTTTGAAAACATACAGATCATAACCCCCAAAATGCAGATAGCTACTAAAGCTTCTGCTTTCCAGAAGCAGAGTTAATGGCCTATGTTCAAAGTTCTGCTCCCACAAGAAGATGCATGGAGTAGCTGAGTTTCTGCTCTATTGATAAGAACTGGGCCCAGTGTCTACACCTAGCTGCAAGGAAGACTGAGAAATGTGGTCATTAGCTGAGTGCTTCTGTGTGCAGGAAAAAAAGTGCCTAATTGGAGAATAAAGCAAATAGTCCACCATATCTAAGGAAGTGGTGTGAATCTGTCTACAAAGAAACAAAACAAAACAATAACAACAACAAAAGCCCACAAAAGTTACTAAGCATTTCTCCTGAATAGAACTATTTTCAGTTAAATGTGTTTTCTTACTGTGTTTAACTTACTTTGAAAATTACTTTAAAAAAACACAAAAAATAAAAAGGAGATCTTTATTTCTAGAAAAAGATTGAAAGCTCAGGCACTTATACTCCCTTTTATTCCTCTACTTTTCTCTTCAGATTTACACTCAATAACAGAAACCTTGGCCGGATTGTCACTATAGCAGAGCCATTCAACACTGAAGTACAACTCTGGCAGGTATGAAGATAAATTCCTCTCTACTTGTCTAGAAAGGAATATAATTATATCTTTTTTCTCAAATAGAAGTGGTATTATCTCCATTCAAATAAAACAAGAAAGAGAATGCTTGTATATAATAAAATGTACACCTATTTTTTTTTATAAACTGAAAAAACAAACTTTAAAAGTTGAGAAATATGAAGCCTTAGGTTCACCAAAGCCTGAACAGTGTGCTTCCCCTTTCCTGGTAATTATAACTCTGATCAAGATTTGATTCAATTCAGAATTCATTGTTTTGGAATTTCAAAACTAATCCCCAATTTCTGAATTTCCAGGGAGGAAAAGTGTCCATTAATATTGGACAAAGAAAGATCGTTTGATGTTATTTAGATTTGAAGATTCTTGCTTATGTTAAGAAACAAAATTATTTTTTTTAACGGAAAATACTACTATGACTGAGTTTGGGGGAGAGTTTGGAGGACAGAATGGAGAATAGAACCAAGCTGAACAGAGATCTTTTTTTATGATTGAGCTGAAATAAATAAACTGAAAGAACATTAAAAAAACTCCAAACTCTCAAAGTGAGAAACTAGATAAAACCGCCATTCCACTGGCCAGTTTTTCCAGGTAACTCCTGAAGAATGCACAGAAAATAGAAAAGTGAGCATGAGCAGAAATGGGCATGCCAACCACTGGCATGCTGCCATCCTTCCCCACCCTGTCAGAGCCTCTTGGCTTGGCAAGCTGGCAGGGGTCCAAAAGCCGCAGGTCATGCTTCCTAATGGAGAGGCGGATCTCAGTGCCTTGCAATGATACTGAGTGGCCAGGTAGGAAGGAAGCACACCCAGTTTGTGAATGAAATTCTTGAAGAATAATTGGGATTAAAATGACATTCCTAATTATTTCCCTGTCTTTTCTAGATGCAGAGCTTTTTTGAAAAATATCCAGAAGCTGGAGCAGGAGAAAAACCTAGGGAACAAGTGGTGGAAACAGTGAAAAACAATATTGAGTGGCTAAAACAGAATAGAGAGACCATAAAAGAATGGTTTTTTAACTTATCAAATAACAGTTAATATGTTCAAATGTCATATTTTTTTAATTTGTGAAGTTGTTGTTTTTTCTATTAAGCATTTGATGGTCTAAATTTAGAAGCACTAAGGAGAGAGCCTTATGAATGGATACTGCTTTTGCTAAGTACTGTGTTGATGTCTTGCAAAGCTTTTAAATTGTTCCTCTTTGTTTATGAAGGAAGATACTAATAGAGTATTTAATATACTCAGGGATTTCTTCTAAGTGTACTTCATAGGAGATTCTTTACAAACTGAAGAGAATTTAATAGTCATTTTAATGTCTTTAAATATCATTCTTTGTATCTTAAATCTGTGAAAATAGAACAATTTGGTCTTAGCTTTACATTTTTAGTACCAAAGAAACACCACTTAATCTTCTCTCTTGATTGATTTTTAAAGTTTAAATACCAGTACTTGAGGGACATATTACCATCTTAATCTTTATTTTATTATTCAGAGTTACACAGACCTAATATCATTTTATTCACATATGTCTTACTACTTTAAATCCTACCAAAGTAACCTGGGCTTAAGTTTTGCTCGAGGATTGCATGAATTAGCCAAAGAAATGGCTGAATGTTGCCATTGCTCTTATAAAATCAACAAGAGAACTCTTCTTTCTTTTTTAGAAATAAATCTAAATTATTACCTTGAAGAGAATATTGTTTTTTGATGTCATTTTACTCTTGAGTAAACATGTCAGCATCATTACCCAAATAATTTTTCAAGTTGCAAATATGATTCAGGAACCTGCCTTTTTTCATGCTTGGTACTCTCTCTTCTTTCTCCATTCTTTACAGAGCTCCTTCAAATATGCTATGAAATTAGAGGGAACATAGTGCTTAACTGTGCTCCATGGATTTTAGAGCAAAAAAGCTAAATAATTGGAAACTGTTCAGGAAAGAGAAAAGGTGGATTATTCCATAAAACTAAATGGAATTAGAATTTAGCTTTGACCTCACCTAGCAATCTAAGTGTGAAAATGGGGAAACTCATGGACACCTCCAACATGACTCTGCATATCTGAGGATATATCTTCTTATAGTTAAGTTTTATATATAAATCCTTAGATCGTAATCCATACAGAATAGCACTGATCAAATTTATATGCATGACTTGATTAAAGACATCAATTTCATAGAAGCTGGTGGCCAGAATATGTTTAATGTGGCACTCGATGCCTAGTAGATCCACAATGTAAGTCCAACAGGCATTTATCTTTTGATAAATGTCTGTGTCCCAAAGTGCTATATCTAGCAAATCTAAATTTATTTGTAACCTTTGGAAGTATAGGGCAATTCAGGAATGGCTTGATAAAAATTGAAGCACAGGGATACAGTCAAAATCTTAGTAATTACTTTATTTACACAACAATATGCACTAATCATGTACTCCAAACTGTGAATTTTGCTACCACTGTTTCTTATCACTTCTCAATTCACACAGCTCAACTAGCAAATTCAAATGCAGACTGAAGACAAAAATGATACAAAATAAAACACTTCCAGACAAATTTTTTATAAATATTATTGTAAATTAGTTCAGAATGAAAAACACCTTAACCTTATAAATCATCAAGAAAACCCCAATAAACTCATGGGGATTAACATCCTAACTTCAAATTCTGGCACCAATCAGAACCAGCACTTAAAGTCCATGTATTGTTTTAAGGGACAAATAAAGATGTAAGATGGTTTATCCTTCTGCTTTGTGAAATAAATAAAAATTTTAAATGAAAATATAAGTTTGAAGAAGATGGTAAATAAAACAGATTCCAACTTATCAAATAAATACATATACATATGTAAATGGAAATTCATTTAGTATACACACACACACACACACACAGGATATTTATTGTGAGGAATTGGCTCATGTGATCATGGAGACAGACCAGTTACCATCAGCCATCTGCAAGGACATCTGGGAAAGTCAGTGGTATAATTCAGCTTGACTCTGAAGGTCTGAGAACCAGAAGAGCTAATCCAAGTTCAAAGACAGGAAATGATGAGATGAGATGTCTCAGGTCAAGCAGTCAGGTAGAAAAGGGGAAGTAGAATATTTCTTTTCTTCCATCTTTTGTTCTATTCAGGATCCCAAGGCATTAGATAGAGCCACCACTTTGGAGAGGGCAATCTACTCTACCAAGGAAGTGATTCAAAGGCCAACTTCTTCTAAAAACTCCCTCACAGACAAACCAGAAATGATACTTAATCTGAACACCCTGAAGTCCAGTCAAATTGTCACATAAAATTAACAATCACAGTTGACCTTATGGTCTTCATTCATTCATTCATTCATTTAATCATTCATTCACATAACTAATATTTATAAAGTTTCAGTCATATAAGAAATCCCATTTTATGTTCTGGTCATCTTAAATTAGAAATGGATTTAAAAGACAAGTGGGAAGAAAATGAGTTGAGAGGATAATGGAGGAGGATGGGAGAAATAGGGCAGAGAATGTCAACTAACCAGCAATTTGTGTTTTGTCCTGATATTCCTCCTGGAGAACCTTTAAACGTTAACATGGCTACATATATAGGCCAAATGTTGTGAACTAACAGCAATTTAGATTATGTGATTTAAAGGTGTGCTAGATATTGCCCGCTGGCAGGGGACAACATTTCTACATTCTTTATGTCCCATCCTTCTGTATTGCACGGCTGAAATGCCAAACACAGCACTTCCCACACTTCACATGTTTGAGGTCCCACCAATGATGTGAACTTTCGTGAGATTTGGAAGGAAATGAGAGAAGAGGCAGAACCCACCTTCTTTCCATGACAGTGCAGGGAAAGACAGTTGTGTGGGAAGGCATGAGTTGGCAGCCTTTGCACTCCATGTCCCTATGTACCATCTCTGTGTAGCACAGAAGTTCTAATATGACTCTCATAGCTTTCTCATTTCTGGGTGACATTAGTAAGTTTTCAGTTTCTGGATCAGAAAGACAAGGATATGTCACCTTGGAACCAGCAGCTTGGCACTGACTCATTTCTATTTCTCTAGTCCTTTTGTAAAAAATATATATTTATTTTTTTAGTTATAAGTGTACACAATACTTTCATTTTATTTTTATGTGGTGCTGAGGGTCTAACCTAATGCCCCATGCATGCTTGGCAAGCACTCTACCTTTGAGCCACAGCCCCAGACCCCCTTAAGCCCTTTTAATAGCATATAAGTTTCTCTCTCAAGAAAATCCTTCTATATTTGGAGAATATACTTAGAATATTTCTTGAACTGACCTCTGAATGATATAGAATGAAAATGCAGATTTTATTTTTTTTATATTTTATTTATTTATTTTAGTTGTTGATTGACCTTTATTTATTTACTTATATGTGGTGCTGGGAATCGAACCCAGTGCCTCACACATGCTAAGCAAGCACTCTACCAACTGAGCCACACCCCCAGCCCAGTTTGTTTTGTATTTTCATTTAACTCAATGCTCAATGATCCTTTCCTGCCTATTGTCCCTTGTATGTGTGTGTGTGTGTGTGTGTATATATATATATATTTTTTTTTTTTTCAAAAGCTGGCCATGGGGCTGGGGATGTGGCTCAAGCAGTAGCGTGCTCGCCTGGCATGCGTGTGGCCTGGGTTCGATCCTTAGCACCACATACAAACAAAGCTGTTGTGTCTGCCGAAAACTAAAAAAAAATAAATATTAAAAAATTCAAAAAAAATAAAAAATAAAAAATAAAAGCTGGCCAGGCATGGTGGTGCATTGCTGTAATCCCAGCAGCTCAAGAAACTGATGCAGTAGGATCATGAGTTCAAAGGCAGACTCAGCAATTCAGTGAGGCCCTAAGCAACTTAGTGAGACCCTGTCTCCAAATAAAATCTAGAAAAGGGCTGGTAAAGTGGCTTAGTGGTTAAGCTCCCCTGGCTTCAATCCCCAGTACCTACCCCCCCCAAAAAAGCTTCAATCTGGGTCCTTTGCTTGGTGTGAATTAATGAAATGGACTGACTCAGAAAGTCCACTCTGGCTCTACTAATTGCCAGAATATAGGAAAAATTGTGATGGCCAGCACTTCAAATACGGGTTCCTCCCCATGGTAAAGGAAGGTGTTTCACTTTTGTATTATGATACATACGCATATTAGAAGGCACGATTGCAGCTCCACTCCTAAGACTATACCCAAGGGAAGTGAAAAACGATGACCACACAAGAACTTACACCTGAGTGTTCATAGAGACATTACTCATAAGAGTCAAAAAGTAGAAATAGCCCAAATGTCCATCAACTATTAAACTTGAAAATAAGCCATAAAGCACAATATTATTTGGCCCTAAAAAGGAATGATACAATGACACATTTTAATATGGATGAGCCTTGACAGCATTATACTAAGTGAAAGAAACTAATTACAATGGGCCACATTTCATATGATTCTGTTTCTGTGAAACGTCCTGACTAGGCACATCCACAGAGACAGAAAAGAGATAGGCGTTTGAAGGTCTGGGAAGGGAATATGGTGAGTGACTGCTGAAGCTTTTTTTGTGAGGTGATAAAAATGTTCTAAAATCAGACAATGGTAATGAACGTACAACTCTGAATGTACCAAAAACACTTAATTATACACTTTAAAAGGGTGAATTTTATGGTATAAGAATTCTCTCTCAATAAAGCTATTATTTTAAAAATTGCCTTTCTTCTCTTGGAGCTTCACTAAACTAAATTACAGAGGAGCAGTGGCTCCTGAGGAAGCCCTATCTTCCCTGCAATGGACAGTGACAATTTTCCTTTTGCCAAGGTGTTTACAAAGTGTGTCTCTTTTTAAGACTGTTTTTACCTCCAGATTTGAGACTTTGCAAAAAGATTCTTATATTCTGATTCAAAGGTGAAACTAGTTCTTACATTGCATTCTCCATTATCAGGATTTGAGTTGTTGTTGGCTTTCTTACTACCACGGGGAGAGAGGCTAAGTGGAAAGAAGCAAGCGAAGAAGGGAAGGAGAGTCCTGGCCACATTTTTTGAGCACCTAGATCTAACTGCTTCCATACTGCATAGACATCACCTTGTTCTTGGAATCTAATGAGCCTATAAATCTCTACCTTTAAGGTATTTTAAATTGGGTTTCTCTTATTTTCAGTGAAAAGAGTCCCCCAGTGCAAGGTCCCATTATATTCTCTCAAGAAAATTTTATATTGCTTGGGGGAGTATGTTATGAAAAAGAAATTGTTAAGGCTAATAGGGTTATTGGCAAGAAGGAAGAATGGAGGGAAGGAAAGAGGGAATAGAAAAGAAAAATGAGAGAAGAAGAGAATAAGGGAGTATTTTTATTGAAAATGAAAGGAAGATAATAAATCACAATTTTCACCACATATCAGCACGTGAATAGGAAGGAATCTTTACATTTGTCTTGCAATAATTCATTTTCTAAAGGGAAAACCACAGGCAGATTTTTTTTTCTCCATTGAAAACAGAAAAGTAATAGCCCCAGCAAGTGAGACCAAGGTTATATTCATTATCATTAAAACAAAGGCAATCAGTCCTTCAAATTCCAAACATTTACATTGTTATATGTAAAACAAATAAAATAACTTCCCTCCCCCTCCCCCAATAAACAGAACAGTACTGGGGAGAGAAGATGTAAATACAGGAAGGAAAAAAATAAAAACAAAGGAAGCAAGATAAAGCATATGGCCTAAAGGATACTGGATAGTTAATTTAGTCATGTCTCATATTAAATTATGCGTTTTAAAATGCCTAGAGAGCATTTTAATTATGACAGTTACCAATAAAAAATTGTTTTATAATATGTTGCTTTTCCATGAGAAGGAAAAAGGTTGTCAACTGCAAAGCCTCCTTGCCTATCCTTGAATCCTCACCCTTTTCTGGAATGTACAGACTCATCCAATTAGAACAGGACCTTACAATATTCTCGTAAGATTGGATAAGGTTTAGAGGTGAGGATGAGGGCAGCATAGCTTTTAAGGGACACTGACAACTTTTGTTTTCTATACATTTAACATATCTAATCAGTATTCCTCTCAACCAGAGTTGCTCTCTTTGTTTTTCTTAGTCTAGTACTTCTTTTCTTATATCAAAAAGGATAATTATTAAAAGAAAACACCATTAACAGGCAAGCACAGAGCCCTGCACCCAGCCACAGTTCAGTACATGTTCTCTTTAGTGCCCAGGCCATGTTTTCTTATGTGCTAGGCGCCATCTTTACTCCACTTCACAGAGCATTGCGCTTGTAAATCTACCTTCTTCCTATTATATCAGCAACCTTTCCTTCTCTCTTTCTCTTTGCATCAATACAGAATAAATGATATTATTTCCCCAAAAGGCAAAAAAGCAGAACTCTCTAGGTCCCCTTTTCTGGTCTCTCCTCATCTTTACTGTAAAGTCTCTCTGAAGAGTTATTATACTTATCTAAAATTTCATTCTTGAGCTCATTCTAATAAGGCTTTCACCCCTACTATTTCACTAAAACTTCCCTTGCTGTAGTCAGCTTTCTAAATCCACTAGTCAATTCTCAAAGCAAACACACAGAAAATAAATAATAATAATAAATAGGTACAGACCTTACTGATATTGGTTTAATGTAATGTTAAATTTTAGAATAACTAGACAAATGAATTACATCCTTCAGAAAGTCTATTTTCAATGGAGTTTTGATAATTTTTATTAAAACAGAAGTAAGGATTTTTGAATATAGATGTTCTCTCTTGTTACTTTAATAATCAGATGAACTGAGGGAATCGTTGGTGAATTCTCATGGAAGTTGAGACAGCTGTGTCAATAGAATCCACTCCAAAAGTTGTGCAAGGGTAAGATTTTCCCACATCCATCTGTTCTAACACATACACCATTTTTTAAAATTCCCAGAATTATAGGACATAGAAGGTGACTCCATTTTTTTTTTCAATCTGTAAAAAGTTTTAATAAAATACTGTTGAACCATTTCCCCTTGGAGGAAAATAAATAAATAAAACAACTCTGATTAAATAGTATAAAATCTATATGTTTAATCAATGTATCTTTTCAATTAACACTTCAAGATAAATTGAACATGTAATCTAATTGGAAGGATCTATTTCAAAATTATAACAATGCCTGAGTGGTATAACTGATTCTGATCCAAGGAGTTAAAGGTCTAGATTTAGGGATCAATGAAAGCTCAAATAAATGTATACACTTTGTAAAAGATTTATCTGTGACATAAGAAGAAGAATCTATGTTCCAAGTTTTCAGAAAAGTCAAAACTTCAAGTTTATCAAGAAGAAAGCCATAAAAATGTAGATTAAATGTCTGGTAAGTTAACAGATCTATAATTGGGGGATAAAAGGGTATGCTTTTTAAATTTTCTTTTTCTCTTTTAAATAGAAAGTGATAGTCTATACTCTGAGTCCACAGGAAACTTCTCTGATGTTAGGGGTGAACTTACTGCCAACTCGAATGTGCCCTTTAAAGTGGAGGCATCTTTCAACTGGGCAAATGTTCTGTCTCTTGTCTCCTGCTCACTCACTTCTCTTCTCCTCCTCAGGAGAAGGAACCAGGCACACATAACTCAACCTTTCCCTTCCTTCTCCTTCTAGGGACTCACCTGTCTAGATAGTATGTGTCCTGATATGCTTTTAACAAGGAAGCTTGCTTAGCAACAAAGGCTCCCCCTGTGGTAGGAGAAGTGGGAATGAATGGGCTGAGGAGGCTGTGCAGGATGATAAATCCACCCAACTCTTGTGTTCATCATCATTGCCACACACCTGGACTATGTCTTCCAACTGCTGGGAGCCATTAGCCAAGTAGGTATGACAATTTCCTTGCCAGCGTACCCCATGTTGCTGACATGTTGCAGTGACATTGAATGTAAGTGACCTTGCTCAAGGACCAAGGCAGATTAGGGTGTTCCCGGTTTTAAGATAATCGTGTTTAGGGCGTTCCCGGTTTAGGTTCCAGGTTTAAGGTTTAAGATTATTCCTGCTGGGAATAGGGCGTATCCTGCTGCCTGAGTTCCCCTTGAGTTCTCACGGGATTTAGACAGTATATTTTGGAGATAGAAGCCCAGTGGAGGTGGATTTGGGCAGAGAACGTGGATTTGGGAAGAGAACGTGGATTTCCCCAGAACGTGATTGTAGACGGCTGGTGTGAGTTCGGGAATAAAGAGTTGCTGTTTGAATCTACAAGCTGTGTGGTGGCTCGTGATTGTGTGCCCAGCCAGACTGCGGCATCCAACCTGGTTTTTTATCTGTAATAACTCTTTATTTAACTCTCCATTGGCTAGAAATTCATTTGGGGACAGGGGTAGAAAAGGATGCATATAAACTATTGATGCACTGAAAACCACACCAATATGGAGGTCCATGTAAGACTGCAAAGAGCCATATTTGCTTATCCCCTTTTGCTAACTAATGTACTACGTGGGATTTTTGGATAAAGGTAGGATTGTTTTGAGTGGGTAGCTTGACGTGAACAAGGGAGATGGAGAAGGGAAATTCAGACTCTGCCCTAGGGCTGCAGCTATTACAATGCCCAGGGACTGCCCTCTTGCAGTCAGACAACTCCCTGTCAATCTGGAGAAAATGGATACCGGCTATGCTGGAAATTTCCAATTTGGCGAGATGTGCACAGGCGCACTAAGCCATGACGGGAAGCCAGACTAACCGGCCCCAAGTACAGAATATGCCAGGAGGGAGGTTCCCAGGCCAAATATAAAAACTCGCCAGGTGGGAAATCCCATGATGTTTCCCGTGTTGGAGGTGGCCAATTCTTGCACCTCAGGGCCTACTTCCATTTCATTAAATAAACACTCCATGCTTTTTCTATCTTTCCGCTTAAATCTTTGTTTCAGGAAAAGAAAAAAAGAAGGAAACCAGCTCAGTAACAGTTTGACAAACATTACTCAGTCCCAATTTTCCACGATTTGCCCCTGTAGATATCTGTCAGTGCATATTTGTAAATAAAACTAAATAGTGAGCTTTAAGCTCACATATTAATAACAGAAGTTGGCCTTAATCAGTAATTAGAAGAGTTGGCAAGGTCCTAATGTACATAAGGCTTAAGCTTTAACGTGAAGGATAGTAGTACATAGTTAGAGAGAAACTCCAAAGGGGTAAAAAGGCTGTAGTTTTACATAAATTTGACACCAATATAGAGAGTGACAGTTATGGAGCACAGTGCATAATGGTACATCTGAATTGGTATGGTGATATCCAGAATAAGTGTTGAGAACTAAACTGAGGCCTCTATCTTGTAGCAATTAAGGAACCCACTAAAGTTTTTGAAACAGAGAAATAATGTAGAAAATACAGAATTAGATGGACTAATTTGATTTTTTTTAAAAGCAGGCTGCATCGAAGAGGTAAGAGAATCAAATAAATACTAGTAAGCAGAAAGTCAAAGGAGGAAACAAATTGCCTTCCTTTCTATGCCTCGCCACACCTAGGTACAGCAAAACCTGAATCTCCTATTGTTCACTCCTCAATCACCACAGCATGATTTCTGCATCTTAAATGATTCTTACAAATGTACTACTGACCTATTAATCACTAACCCAATGACCATTTTATTCATTTGTTATCTAACCTTGACAATCATTAACAACCAGGATGACTGACCACTCTCTCCCATTAGTTATCTAGGGCTGCTGTAACAGAGTATCACAAACTCAGTGGCTTAAACAAGAGAAATTTATTG